AATACCAAGAACATACTGGAAGAAATAGTGACAGAAAACTTCCCCCACCTGGGGAAAGAAATAGACTTACAAGTCCAGGAAGCGCACAGAACCCAAACAAAAGGAATCCAAAGAGGACCACACCAAGACACATCATAATTAAAACTCCAAGAGCAAAAGACAGAGAATATTAAAAGCAGCAAGAGCAAAGCAGGTAGTTACCTGTAAAGGAGCATCCATATGATTGTCAGCTGATTTCTCAACAGAAACCATGCAGGCTGGACAGGAATGGCAAGAAATATTCAAGGTGATGAATAGCAAGAACCTACAGCCAAAAATACTCTACTCAGCAAAGCTATCACTCAGAATCGAAGGCCAGATAAAGAGCTTCACCAATAAAAAAAGCTAAAGGAGTTCATCACCGCCAAACCAGAATTATATGAATTGCTGAAGGGGGATCTTTAGGAAGAGGAAGAAGATAAAGATAAAAATTTTGAACAACAACTATGTAACTGTCAACAAGTGAAACTAAAAGCCAGGGGAATTAAAAAACCTGATGAACAATATTAACTGGTAAATATAATAGAATCAGAGGTATGGAAGGGGAGTGGACTGACGATTCTTGGGGAAAAGGGGAGTGGCGGATGCAGGAAGAGCCTAAACAAAAACTGTGCACCTATGGATGAGGACAATGAGGGGTGGGGAAAGGGCAGAGGGTGGGGTGGGAACCTGGTGGAGGGGGGCAATTGGGGGAGGGGGGTAAAGAGGAACATTTGTAATAATCTGAACAATAAAGATTTATTTTAAAAAATGTATTTCTCTCCTCTCTCTCTCCTCCTTCCTCCCTCTCTAAAGTTAATAAATAAATTAAAAACAAATTTTGAAGATGTGATTCATGCCTGGCTGACATGGTTCAGTGGCTGAACATTGACTTATGAACCAGGAGGTCATGGTTCGAGTCCTGGTTGGGGCACATCTTGGGTTTCAGGCCTGTCCCCAGTGGGGGGTGGCTTACAGAAGCCAGCAGATCAATAATTGTCCCTCATCATTGATGTTTCTATCTCCCTCTCCCTTCCTCTCTGAAATAAATAAAAATATATTTAAAAAAATAGCCGGAGCTGGTTTGGCTCAGTGGTAGAGCGTCGGTCTGCGGACTGAAAGGTCCCGGGTTCGATTCCGGTCAAGGGCATGTACTTTGGTTGCGGGCACATCCCCGGTAGGGGGTGTGCAGGAGGCAGCTGGTCGATGTTTCTCTCTCATCGATGTTTCTAGCTCTCTATCTCTCTCCCTTCCTCTCTGTAAAAAAATCAATAAAATATATTAAAAAATATATATATATATATTTAAAAAATAAAATAAAGATATGGTTCGTATATACACAATGGAATGTTATTCAGCAATGAAAAGGGGGAACCCTTACTACTTATGGCAACATGTATGGGCCTTGGCATTATCTGAAGTGAAGTAAGTCAAACAAAAGGCAATACTGTACAACTTCACTTATATGTGGACTCTTAAAAATAAGTTCCAGAGATGGAACGCAAATTGGTGGTTGTCCGAGGTGGGGATGATGGGGTGGGGAAATGAATGAAGTGGGTCAAAAGTGTAAGCTTCCAATTACAGGATAAATAAATCCCAGCCCTGGCCAGGTTCTTCAGCTGGTTAGAATACCGTCCTAGTACACTCCAGTCAGGGATCATACAAGAATCAACTAGTGAATGCATAAGTGAGTGGAACCACAAATTGATGTTTCTCTCTCTCAGATCAATTTAAATTTTTTTTAAAATAGCTGAAATTGGTTTGGCTCAGTGGATAGAGCGTCGGTCTGCAGACTGAAGGGTCCCAGGTTCGATTCCGGTCAAGGGCATGTACATTGGTTGCAGGCACATTCCCTGGTGGGTAGTGAGCAGGAGGCAGCTGATCGATGTATCTCTTATTGATGTTTTTAACTCTCTATCCCTCTCCCTTCCTCTCTGAAAAATCAATAAAATATATTTAAAAATTTTTAAATATATGTTTTATTGATTTCAGAGATGAAAGGAGAGGGAGAGAAATATAGAAACATCAATGATGAGTGAGAATAATTGATCGACTGCCTCCTGAACACTTCACATTGCTTCTCACTCTCTATCCCTCTTCCTTCCTCTCTGTAAAAAAAAAAAAAAATCAATAAAATATATATTTTAAAAAAAAAAAAAAGAAAAGAAAAGAAAGAAAAGAATACAGGGGCAGACCGCGTCAGGGTTGAGGAAAGAGCATTTCAAGCTGAGGAAACTGCAAGGCGGCCACACCAGAGCTCAGAGTGAGGGAAGAGCCAGTGGGCCGCGGGGGAGCTGCCCTGGGCTTGTTCCTTGGTCTGCCTGAGACTGCCTGGCATCCTGGAGGAAGCCCTGCCTTTCCTGGCGTCAGAAGCAAGGGATTGCGCTTCCCTTTTCCTTGAAAACACACAAAGGAGTGCAAGATGGGGAGGTGCATGCTCCTCCTGCCAACCTGTCCCCATTACCATCCCGTTCTCCCTCAGGAAATGGCCCTCCGCATCCCAGAGCAGGACCCCACGGAGTCATCCTTGACTCGGCCCTGCCCTCATGTTTCAGCAAGTCCGGCCGGCCCTGCCGCCAAAACAGGTGCCAAATCCAACTCCTTCTCCGTCGCCACCGTGCAGCCACCTCCTCTCCCATTTGTCTTCTGCCCTGTGCTCCCACTCCCTGACGGGCACTCCTGCAGCCTCAGGAGGTGCCTGTATACACCCGAGTACCTCCTCTGCTCAGAAGCCTCCATGGCTCACTCAGAGGAAAAGCCAAAGCACAGGCATCCTCTGCCCCACCCACCCCCTCTCTGCCCTCCTTTCCACCAACTCTGCTCCTTCCTCACTGCACTCTGGCCACACTGGCCTCGAGACTGCTCCTTAAGGCGGCTCCTACCACAGGGCCTTTGCACGTTCCGTGTTCTTTGTCGGATACACTGCCTTCTTAGTGTTGTCACTGCTCCCTCCTCGCCTCCCTCTGGTCTTTGCTCCAATGTCACATTCTCAGTCTTCCTCCAGAATACTCTATTTAAAAGTACATTAACCCTCATATTCCCTCTCCCCTTCCCCGTTTCATTTTTCTGCTTAGCACTAATAACAACCTAACATTTCATCTATTTCATTTTCGTTCCTTTTTTTTTAAAGGTTTTTTTAAAAACATATTTTATTAATTTACTAGAGAGAGGGATAGAGAAAAACATCAATGAGAGAGAATCATCAATCAGCTGCCTCTTGCCCACCCCCTACCGGGGATGTACAAGCAACCAAGGTACATGCCCCTGACCAGAATCGAACCCGGGATCTTTCAGTCCGCAGGCCAACGCTCTATCCACCGAGCCAAACCGGTTTTGGCTCATTTTCGTTTCTTGCCTGTTGCCCCTACTAAGACCATTCCGTACGATGGCAGAGATTTCTGTCCGTTCTGTTTATTGTGTGTCCCCAGCGTCTGGAATGATGCCTCCTAGAGAATCGGCGCTCAGTCATCCCTGCTCAGCGGCTGCAGGGGGCACCTGGGCCGCCAGGGGGAGCTAGCGGCTGTGCACTTGGACTCCGGGCCAACGGAACCAGTAACGCGCCCGAGAAAAATCCTCCGGAAAAGAACACCCGCGCAGGATTTTCCCACACTCTCCCGAGGGCCTCGGACCCCGGCCATTCTGGGAGTGGACTTTTGCTCCCCCCCCCCCCAGTAAGAAAGATCCCCGTGGAAATTCCTTAGGAACCCTCGGGGTGTGGGGAGAGGGACGCATTTCTGGAGGATGGGTGACTCCAAGCTCCATCTCTCGGAGGAAGGGCGGAGGCGTCCATCGGGCCCCCCTCCCTTCCCCTTCTGCCGGGCGAACCTGTGGCCCCCGGAGGTCTCCATGGAGACGCGGCACGCGCCGCACAACAGGAAGCCTGGGGCGGCGCTGTCGGCGCGCCCCGGGACCCCCCAGGCCTCCGCGGGGTGACGGATGAGTCTGAGGTCACACGCACGGGCTGCGGCCCCGGGGACAGGGGCCTGGGGGCGGCCTGGGGACGCGGCGCGGGGCCCCACAGCGCCCCCACCGCCCCGATGGGACCAGCCGGACGCGTTCCTGCCCACGGGTGGCGCTAGACCCCCGGGATGGGCCGGAGTTTGAGCGTCCCCTCGCCCCGCCCCCTGCAGAGCCCAGGCGCTGCCTCAGTTTCCCCGCGGAGCGTGGGACCGGCGGGGGGGGGGCTGCACGCTGGGACCACGTGACTTCCTTCCCGTTTCTCGAAGCTGCGAGGACGCCCCCGCGGCCCCGGCAGAAAGGGGAAGCGAGGCCTCGGGACCCGGGCGCCCACCGGCAAGGAAAGCGGATCCCGGGAGTGTCCTCGCCCCCGCGGCGCACGGGATCCTGGAGGCGCCCGGGCCCGCTTCTCGGAAATGCCGGTGCCAGCGCGGCGGAGTCCCGCCCTTTGGGGGCAGGGACACCCTGGACGGAGGCTCCCCGGGGGGATTCCCGGGACCCCTCCCCACTGAGGGATCGTCCGTTGGCGCCGGGGAGTCCAAGCCCCTGGCAGCTCGGAGCCTCAGTTTACCCGTCCCGGGAATGGGCGCGGCTGTGAGCTCACAGCGCAGCCCCATCGCCGCAGAACGGAGATGGGCCCGGCCCCGGGGCTGGACCCCGAGGCCCCGAGCAGCCCTCCGGGCGCCACCGCTTCTGGGGTCCCTTTGCTTCAGTTAGGAAATTCCGGGCTCCGGCGGCCAGCGAGGGGCACGGCCGGTCCGGAAAAACCCGAGCCCTCCTTCCCCGGGAGAAGGCACGGGGTTTCCGGGAAGGCGGCGCCGCCCCCTTGCCCCACGCCACGGGGGCCGCCCCTATAAAGCGCGCCGCCCGCGGCCCCTCCGCAGAGCTGCCCTCCTCCGCTCCGGACCCCGCGCTCCCCCCGGGACCTCCTCCTCCGCTCCGGTCCCGCTCTCCCCCCGGGACCTCCTCCTCCGCTCCGGTCCCGCTCTCCTCCGCTCCGGTCCCGCTCTCCTCCGCTGGCCGCTATGCGTCCCGTCGCCGCCCGGCCCCCGCTGCCCGCGCTCCTGGCCCTGCTCTGGGCTCTGCTCCCAGGTGAGTGCAGGACGGGGCTGCCGTCCGGCCGGCGCTCCAGGGCGGGGGTAGTGGGGGGGGGGCGCGGCGGGCAGACCGGCTCCCCGCCGGCTGGGGACCGGGCCATTGGTATTCAGGCAGTTGTTTGGGGGAAGTTGGGGCAAGGACCACTCGCTGAAAGTCCATCGGCAGGCCCTGGCCAGGTAGCTCGGTTGGTTAGACTCAACCGTTAGAGCGTCCTTGTGATACACCAAGGTGGTGGTTGGATCCCCTTAGTCAGGCACATTCAATAATCAACCAATGAATACATAGATAAGCGGAACAACAACAAAGAAAATCTGTCTCTCCTTTTTTCTCTCTCTCTAAATATCAGTCAGTAAAAAATTAAGCCCTAACCGGTTTGGCTCAGTGGATAGAGCATCAGCCTTCGACTGAAGGGTTCCAGGTCAAGGGCATGTACCTTGGTTGCAGGCACATCCTCAGTAGGGGGTGTGCAGGAGACAGTTGATGGATGTTCCTCTCTCATTGATGTTTCTAGCTCTCTATCCCTCTCCCTTCCTCTCTGTAAAAAAAAAAAAAAATCAATTAAAAATATGTATTTTTAAATTTTTTAAAAGAAAGTCAACCCCAGCCTGCATGACTCAGTGGCTGAGCATTGACCTATAAACTAGTTTCGATTCCCAGGTTTCGGGTGTGCAGGAGGCAGCAGGTCAATGATTCTCTCCCATCATTGACATTTCTATCTCTCTCTCTCCCTTTGCCTTCCTCTCTGAAATCAATAAAAATATTTTGAAAAAAGAAAGGAAATTAACTGCCACTGGTTCAAATCCAGACCCCGCGCCTCAATGTCTGGCCTGGGCCTAGTGGAGACTCTAAATGGGGAATATAATGTCAGCGCTCACACTTCGCCTTGGTTGTTCCTGACCCGGCACAGCGTCTGCCCCCAGCAGGCAGTCATGTGACATGGGACGCGGTTGCCCTCTGAGCAGGCTGGGGACCCCCACGCAGCCAGCACATTTTGTTCCTCCTTTACTGCGCTTGGGGAAGTCCAGACCTGCTTCTGCTCAGGGGAATTCCAAGCCTGATTTGCCCAAGGACCAGAGGCTGAGAAGTGAGATTCCCCGGCACCCCTCCACCAGCTCCAGAGGGAGGGGAGAAGGGGAACAGAGAGTCTCAGAGGAAAGGGTGACCAGGGCTGGGGAGCAGGTGAGAGGAAGATAGACACCGTGGTTACCAGCTCCATGGAACATTCTAACGCAGACTGCAGTGCAGAGTCTACCGCTTTCTGGCTGAGTGACCTCACCATTTCCCTCTGTGAAATGGGAATGAGCCCAGGATCCTCCTGGGAGATACTCCGTGGGCCCAAAGCTGAGGGTGGGGTAGGAGGGAGGGGCTCAGACAGACATTTTTTTCAGCTTTGGAGGCACCAGGGTCTGAGGAAGCTAACACAATCCCTCTTCTTTTTTTTTCTTTTTCTTTTTTTAAAATATATTTTATTGATTTTTTTAAATAAAAATATATTTTATTGATTTTGTACAGAGAGGAAGGGAGAGAGATAGAGAGTTAGAAACATCAATGAGAAAGAGTCATCGATCAGCTGCCTCTTGCACACCCCCTACTGGGAATATGCTCGCAACCAAGGTACTTGCCTTTGACCGGAATCGAACCCGGGACCTTTCAGTCCCCAAGCCGACGCTCTATCCATTGAGCCAAACCGGTTTTGGCTATTTTATTGATTTTTACAGAGAGGAAGGGAGAGGGATAGAGAGCTAGAAACATTGATGAGAGAGAAACATCTACCAGCTGCCTCCTGCACACCCCTTACTGGAGATGTGCCCGCAACCAATGTACATGCCTTTGACCGGAATCAAACCTGGGACCTTTCAGTCCTCAGGCCGAGGCTCTATCCACTGAGCCAAACAGGTTTTGGCACAATCCCTCTTCTTATCTGTGCCTGCTTCCTCCTTGCCCTGTCCTAGGAGTTACTTTCAATAGCAGGGTTCGGAGGACTCTACTTACAGATGGGGAAACTGAAGCAGGAAAGGGGAGGTCACTTGTCAAAAAGAGGGAGGAACCATCCTGATTAGAATCCTCCATCCCCAAATCTGCCCCCCCCCCCCCCCGACCTCTTGGGAGAGAGGACCCTGGTGCTACCTTCCTCCTCTGCTGGAATCCTCCAGTGGCTCCCCGTGGCCTTCAGAATGAAAAACACATCCTTGGCATGGCCTCGGCTGCCTGCGCGATCTTCCTGATCTCATTTCCCCCAACTCTTCCCCCTTGCTGACTTGGCTGCAGACACCCTGCCCCAGGACCTTTGGACTTGGGACTCATTTCCCTTTTCTCTGGATCGCCCTTCTCACCATCCATATCTGTGCTCACACAGAACCCTGTCGTCAAGCCACTGTCCTATCACTCAGTATTGTTGTTGTTGTTATTGGTGTGTGTGTGTGTGTGTGTGTGTTTGTCAGAGTTCTTATTAACATCAGTTATTAATTATCTTGTTTGCTCGTGAATTTTTCTGTCTCCTACACTGATGGCAGGGAGTTCTGTCTTAGTCAAGGCTGTGCCCCTCGCACAGGCTGGGGGCCCAGGGATATGGATGAACCCAATTTGCAACGCCTTTCTCTTCTTCACACTTTTGTTCCAGGGCCTGGAGGTGCCCAAACATCAGTGCACCCCAAGGCAGTCACCATACCCCGGGGCGGTTCCGTGGTGGTGAACTGCAGTACCTCCTGTGATCAGCACAAACTCCTGGGTCTGGAGACTGTTTTGAATAAGAAAGAAGTGGCCAGCGGATCCAACTGGGAGACCTATGAACTGAGTTCCGTACAAGAAGACACCACTCCCTTCTGCTACTCCACCTGCGACAACAACGAACAGTCCCAAGCTACAGTGTCCCTCACCGTGTACTGTGAGTGGTGGGCCTGGGGCTGGGCGAGGCATGCTGGGTCGGGGAGGTGGGCAAGGGAGACCTTAGTGGTCTGGGACTGCCGGTGAGGTTTGGTGATGGGGCCAGGGAGGGTGGTCACGTCTTTGGAAAGCCTCCTTGTCGTTTGAAACCCCTCTTTGAGCTTCCTTGGGTGCACTTACGAGTATCAACAGGGCCGAAGCCAGTTTGGCTCAGCAGAAGAGCGTCGGTTTGCAGACTGAAAGGTCCCAGGTTCGATTCCGGTCAAGGGCATGTACATTGGTTGCGGGCACATCCCCGGTAGGGGGTGTGCAAGAGGCAGCTGGTCTCTCTCTCATCGATGTTTCTAGCTCTCTAGCTCTCTCCCTTCCTCTCCATTAAAAAAAAAAATCAATAAAATATATATATTTTTAAAAAGTATCAACAGGGATCCAGCACATTCAAGAACTGGCTCTCTAGACCCCTGACGAGGCCCTAGACCGGACTCTTTTATAGAATTGCTAGAGGCCCGGTGCACGAATTCGTGCATGGGTGGGGCCCCTCAGGGGTAGCCTGCGGGGATTGGGCCCCAGCTCACAGCCCCAGCATGGAAGCCCTGCAGCCCCGCCTGGCAACCGGCTGTGGCCCATGCTGCCCCCTCATCCGCTTCATCATCTGCGGGGCGATCAGCAGGGCAATTGCCCCCCTTCCTCCCCCTCCCACCTGCCTTGGCCTGGCACCGCCTGCTCACCTGCTCCACCATCCTGCCTCGGTCCATGCTGCTCTCCACAGGGCCCATTGGGCAGGCAGCGCCTCCACTGCTAGCTCAGTCTCGCTGATGCCCACCATATTCCATGAGGCCCCCTGGTGGTCAGTGCACATCACAGTGAGCAGTGGAACTCCTGGTTGAACAATTTGCATATTAGGCTTTTATTATATAGGATTATTTTAATTAATTGATTTGGATAAATATAATTGATTTCAGAAAGAAGGGAGAGGGAGAGAAAGAAACATCAATGATGAGAATCATTGATTTGCTGTCTCTTGCACATCCCCTACTGGGGATGGAGCCTGCAATCCCAGCATATGCCGTGAACGGGAATCGAATCATGGCCTCCTTGTTCATAGGTTGACATTCAGCCACTGAGCCACACCAGCCAGGCAAGCTGACTTTTTATTTATTTTTTAATTATTATTTTTAATATGTATTTTTATAGATTTCAGAGAGGAAGGGAGAGGGAGAAAGAGATAGAAATATCAATGATGAGAGAGAATCATTGATCAGCTGGGTCCTGCACATCCCACACTGGGGATGGAGCCCACAACCCAGGCATGTGCCCTGACTGGAATCAAACCTGGGACCCTTCAGTCCGAAGGCAGATGGTCTATCCACTGAACCAAACCAGCTAGGGCCAGGTGCATCTTATTGATAATATAAGATGCATATTAAAACTAGCCCTGAATTTTTTTTTTTTTTCCCACTTATTGACAACAATGGAAAGAATTGGTAACGGCTGTGCTGATAAGACTGCGAGACTGCAGGCCGTCTGGGACGTTACTGACCAGGGTGGGAGCATAAGGAAGCACAACCCCAGGCAAGGAAGGGGCCTCAGTTCTCCAAAGGACACAGGCACCTGTCCTGTGGTACCAGAAACCCTGCTTCTGGGAACTGGGCGTACGGGTGTCCCTGCCAAGGGGAACTGGGGGTGGGGTTATTCACGGCAGCTTTGCTTGGGGCTGGGAGGTAACTGGTTTGGCTGTCCAATAGTGTAGTGAGCCACAGTGTACAAGAATGACGAAGTTCCTTCCTTTTGACTGGAAGCTGCAGTCAAACTCAAAAGAAGTCAGGAATGCCCATGAAACCGGTTTGGCTCAGTGGTTTGGCTCAGTGGTAGAGCGTCGGTCTGCGGACCGAAGGGTCCCGGGTTCGATTCCGGTCAGGAGCATGTGCATTGGCTGCGGGCACATCTCCGGTGGGGGGTATGCGGGAGGCAGCTGGTCGATGTTTCTCACTCATCGGCATTTCTAGCTCTCTATCCCTTTCTCCTCCTCTCTGTAAAAAAAAAAAAAAAAAAAAAAAATCAATAAAATATTTTTTAAAAAAAGAAAGAAAAAGAAAGCTTATTCTAAAACAACAACAAAACAAAACAAAACAAACAAACAAGAAAGTCAGGTATGCCCAGAATGAGAGGCACGCTATTCTGTGTGTTAGGGAGTGGTGGGTGAGGGAGGTTGTGTTTACTGAAAGAAGTGACCGTGTTAGCGGTGGAGGGCAGGGGCGCGGCGCACCGAGGGGCTCCAGGAGAGGGCAGGAACAAGTTTCTACTTGTGCCTTTTTTTTTTTTTTTTACCTTTGGGAATTTTTGAACTGTGAGAATGAGTAACTATGACCATAGGCAATAAATAAAATTCAAATTAGAACAAAATAAAAAAAAAAGGAAGGAAGGAAGGAAGGAAGGAAGGAAGGAAGGAAGGAAGGAAGGGAGGGAAGGAAGGGAAGGGAAGGGAAGGGAAGGAAGGAAAGGAAAGGAAAGGAAAGGAAAGGAAAGGAAAGGAAAGGAAAGGAAAGGAAAGGAAAGGAAAGGAAAGGAAAGGAAAGGAAAGGAAAGGAAAGGAAAGGAAAGGAAAGGAGGAAGGAAGGAAGGAAGGAAGGAAGGAAGGAAGGAAGGAAGGAAGAAAGAAAGAAAGAAAGAAAGAAAGAAAGAAAGAAAGAAAGAAAGAAAGAAAGAAAGAAAGAAAACCGGTCACCTGGCTTTGAGATTAGACAGCCTTGGGTTCCAGTCCCATCATGGCCCTCAGTAACTGTGTGACTGTGGGGGCCTGGCTTCTTGGCTGACTTCTACATCAGACCTCCTGGGATGGGGACAGGGACACAGTGAGGCATGAAGGACATCCCGCCTTCACTGTGTCTGGGCGAGGAAGCCTTGGGGCAAATGTCAGTTTTGCTTCTGATGTGGAGGGTGTTTGAGCAGATGCTGGCCAGGTGAGGGAAGTCCCCAAACATTCCCGGGGGGCGCTGAAAACCCCAGGGAACTCCCTGGAACGCCCTTCCACAGCTCAGCCTGGGAGCTGAAAGCCCAGCACGTCAGGTGTGAGTTCCTGGCTCTGCCACTTGCTCCCTCTGCGGCTCTGGACACCAGACTCTGCCTCAGTTCCCACCTCTGTGAGATGGGGCAGATAGCTGGCACACAGCAAGACACTCGGGCTTGGGCCTGCCCTGCCCTCAGCGTAAAGATGAGGCACTTCCCTGGGTGACTAAGCTTTCTCAAGAAAGGTTAGTGTGGTGACTTGTGCAGGAAGTGACCCCTCATTAGGCCTTGGAAGGTGCATAGGAGCTGGTAGACAGGCATTCCGGGCAGAGAGAACAGCCCTGGCCAAGGTTTGGGGTGGGGAAGCATGCTGACCCGGGGTTGGGAGGGCAGGAGGCGCTGAACATCAACAGGTTAGCGAGGCTGGAGCTAAGGGTGGCAGGTCCTCAAATGCCAGGCTGGGCCGAAACCGGTTTGGCTCAGTGGTAGAGCGTCGGTCTGCGGACTGAAAGGTTCCGGGTTCGATTCCAGTCAAGGGCATGTACATTGGTTGTGGGCACATCCCCAGTAGGGGGTGTGCAGGAGGCAGCTGGTCGATGTTTCTCTCTCATTGGTGTTTCTAGCTCTCTATCTCTCTCCCTTCCTCTCTGTAAAAAATCAATAAAATAAAAAAAAATAATAAAAAAATGCCCGGCTGGGAAGTTGGGGCCTTCTCCCCAGGGTGATAGGGAGCTGCACTTCAAGAGTGTGAGAGCAGCCGAAACTGGTTTGGCTCAGTGGTAGAGCGTTGGTCTGCAGACTGAAAGGTCCCGGGTTCGATTCCGGTCAAGGGCATGTACATTGGTTGTGGGCACATCCCTGGTAGGGAGTGTGCAAGAGGCAGCTTGTCGATGTTTCTTTCTCATCGACATTTCTAGCTCTCTATCCCTCTCCCTTCCTCTCTGTAAGAAAAATCAATAAAATATATTTTTAAAAAAATGTTAGAGCAGGCCATGAATCTAGAGAGCAGAAGGCCAGACTTAAGAGAAGCCAGAGGACAGTTGGCTGAGGGCCTGGTCCAGGTCACACGTTTTGTGGGCAGCGGCTGCTTACAGGAAAGGGAGGGCAGACAAATATTTGAAGAGCAGTATGACCGGGACTTGGTGAGGGACTGAAGGTGGGGGGTGAGGGGGTCACAGAGAGGTTAAGGCAGTCTGGCTTGCAGGCCAAAGAGCCGAGTCTGGAGATGTGAGGGGTTGAGGTTTAAGGAGGCCTCTCTGCAAATTGTGGTTTGCAGTAGATGGTTAGATATCAGAACTGACTGCCTGAGGGTTTTCTGAGACTTAAAAAAAATAAAAAAAATATATATATATATTATTATTATTATTATTTTTTTTTTTTTTTTTAATGATTTTAGAGAGGAAGAAGAGAGAAAAACATCAATGATGTGAATCATTGATCAGATTCCTCCTTCTCATCCCCTACTGGGGATTGAGTCCAAAACCTGGGCATGTGCTCTTGACCAGAATTGAATCTGGGACCCTTCAGTACACAGGCCAACTCTCTAGTCACTGAGCCAAATTGGCTACAGCTCTGGCCTTTTAAAAAACACACACACACACACACACACACACACACAATAGATTTGAAATAAGTCAATGAATTTTAATGTTTATAGAGTTGTACAACCATCATCACAATCTAATTTAAGAACATTTTCATTACTTTAAAAGGCATTCTCATGCCCATTGACACTCATTCTTTAACTTCTTAAATGGATTAATAATAGTCCTACCTCCAGTAGCTCACTTCACAGCTCTGGAAACTGAGGCTCCGCTTCTGTAGCCCTGAGGGCTGGGACAGTTCCAGAGGAAAGTCACTCACTCACAGCCCACAGCGAAGAAGCAGAAAAGTTAGGAACCGAACCCAAGCCCCTGACACTTTGTCAGCATTGCCCAGTGATATTTCTGGGCTTCTTGAGAAGGGAACAGTGACTCGGGGCCCTCCAGACCTCTCCCTGGGGAGCTTGGCGGGTCTCAGTGCTCAGTCACAGCTGGCAGAGATCTGCTATAAATGTTCACTGGCAATTCAGGCTCAGAGTTCTGTTACCTGGTGCGAAACTGAAACCCCGGCCTGTGAAAACCAAGCACACAAGTTGTGTCTTCAGGGGCTGTTCAGCGTTGCATTTTGAGTGTCTGTGGATTCTTACATTGTTAACATTTCAGAGGGTCATACAGCATATTCAGGAATTCTTTCTCACTCTTTTGTTTTGTTTTTTAATTGACTTCAGAGAGGAAGGGAGAGGGAGTGAGAGCTAGAAACATCCATGATGAGAGAGAATCCTTGTTCGGCTCCTTCTGCACGCCCCACACTGAGCAGCCCAGGCATGTGGCCTGACCGGGAATCCAACGGTGACCTCCTGGTTCGTAAGTGGAGGCTCAACCACTGAGCTGTGCAGTCAGGGCCAGAGCTTCTTCCTCTTGGAAGTGGGCTCCTGAAAGGCCTGCAATCAGTGTGTGTGGTTCAACCTCATTCTTTCTATAAACAGAGTGCCTACTGTGTGCCAACACACAACGTGAGGGGGCAAATTCCAATGCCTCCTGGGTTGACATTTCATGGGAGGAAATTGAGGAGAAACAAGTTCACTGAACAGATGATCCTGTGTGTCAGAGGGTGCATGGGTGCTACAGAGACGAATAAAGCCAAGGAGAGTGGGGGATTGGAATGGGGGTGAGGACAAATATGTAATACCTTAATCAATAAAGAAATTAATTTAAAAAATAAAAAATAATAAATAAAATAAAATTAAAAAAAAGATAAAAATAAAGCCAGGACAGGAGAAGGGGGAGCAGAGCTCGCTCGCTATCTCTCTCGTTTATTCTGCTTTTTTTTTTTTTTTTTTAGTTTTCTTTTTAAACCATTTTTATTGTTTTTAAACTTCTTTTTCTTTTCTTCTTTAAATTTTTTGTTGGAAGAGCAGAGGTCTTTTTAAAAACAGGCTCCACTGGCCAGGGTAGCTGAAATACTGTGTGTATTTCACTAGACACCTGGTGACAGACTCTGAGGTTCTTTTCCACCTTTTCACTCCTAGAAGCTGCAGCGGATAAAAAAACAAAACTAAAAAAACCTGTTTCGCCCTTTCGAAACCACATGGGAATTTCTCACTGGTTTCCCCTGAAGTTCTTAACATTCCTGTATGACTTAGGTGGCTTGGGATTAGACAGCCGTGGGGTATGTTGAGGGGTGGGGGTGGGGGGTGAGGCTCCTGGCCAGGTGTGGTGCCCCTGTGCCCCCTGCTGGTGGGTATCCTGCCCAGCTCACAGGACACTCCTTCCTCTCCCCTCCCCCAGGGCTCCCGGAGCGTGTGGAGCTGGCACCCCTTCCCCATTGGCAGCCTGTGGGCAAAAATCTCACCCTGCGGTGCCAGGTGGCGGGTGGGGCGCCCCGGACCAACCTCTCCGTGATGCTGCTCCAAGGGGAGAAGCTGCTGAGCCCGCCGCAGCCCGCGGGGGGGACGCCTGTGGCTGAGGTCACGGCCACCGTGTTGGCACGCAGAGGCGACCATGGCACCAATTTCTCCTGCCGCACAGAACTGGACCTTCGGCCCCAAGGGCTGGGACTGTTCCAGAACAGCTCAGTCCCCAGGCAGCTCCGGACCTTCGGTGAGGCACTGGGAAATGTGCGGGAGGGCAGGCTCAGGCCGTGTTCCTGCCTGGGGCGCGGGGTCCCGGGCAGGAGGGGCCCCTGGCTTTGAGGGGATGGAGAAGATAGCGGCCTAGATTGCAAAGGCTTCTGGGAAGAGCATGTTCTTGGCCACTGGGGTGGGGCATTGGGGGGTGGGCTGCCTGGGCCACAGGATCTTCTGAGAAGGCTGTGACCCAGGGCAAGGGGTACGAGGGTCCTGAGTCATAGATGGCCGAGCCGCAGAGTCTCCCGGGGAAGAGGAGTCCCAGGTGACAGGATGAAGATGCGGCAGGAAAGGCTCCAGTTCCCCTCTGTTCACACCCTCCTTCTCTGGCCAGTCCTGCCGGAGCTCCGCCCACACCTCGCTACTCCCAAGATCCTGGAAGTGGGCACACGGGGGTCCGTGACCTGCACCATGGATGGGCTGTTCCCGGTCTCAGAGGCCCAGGTCCACTTGGCCCTGGAGGACCAGAAGCTGGAACCCACAATCCACTACAGCAAGGACTCCCTCTTGGCCACCGCCCGGGTGGAGGCGAGCCCGGGGCAGGAAGGCCTCCACCCGCTGACCTGTGCGGTGAGCCTGGGAAACCAGAGTCGGAGGACTCGGGAGGATGTGACCATCTACAGTGAGTGGAGACAGGGCAGAGCTTTGGGCGGGTGGGGCCAGGCCTAGGGGTGGGGCTCACTGTGTGCTCCTCCCTCAGGTTTCCCAGCTCCCAACCTGACCCTGAGTGAGTCTGAAGTCCCGGAGGGGACTAAGGTGAGCGTGGAGTGCAAGGCCCGTGCTGGGGCTGCGGTGACGCTGAGCTGGGACCCAGATGGGTCTCCACTTCCGAAGGCCGAAACCACGCTGAATGCCACTGCTGAGGACGACGGGCGAGAATTTTTGTGTTCCGCCACCCTGATGGTGGCCGGGGAGGAGCTGCACAAACACAAGACCCAGAAGCTCTCTGTCTTGCGTGAGTAGGGCTGCTGGACAATGACCCCCCCCCCCTAACCTCCAAGGCCCAGGCCCTATGACTCTGTGAGCTCACGTCTCTGGAGTCTACCCCCGCCCCTGCCCTGGGCTCCCTACCTGACTCCTCCAGACCTGGGTGGTGGGAGGGTTCTGGTCCCTCATCTTGCTCTGTTTCTCTAGATGGCCCCCGCCTGGACCAGGAGACTTGCCCAGGAAACTGGACTTGGGAGGAAAACACCCCGCAGACCCTGAGATGCCAGGCCTTGGGGAACCCGACCCCCATGCTGGCCTGTCACCGGGAAGGGGATAGGGCGCTGCTGCCCATCGGGGACCTGAGGCCTGTCACGCGGGATATTTCGGGCACCTACGTGTGCCGGGCCACCAGCAGTCGCGGCGCGGTCACCCACGAGGTGGTTGTGAACGTGATCCGTGAGTGCCAGTGCTGGGGCCCGGGCTGGTGGGTTGGGCAGGGTCAGTGAGCCTGGCTTGACCCCCATCTCCCCTTATTGTTCTCCCTACAGATCGCCCGAGTAACCTGGCCACCATCCTTGTGGTGGCAGGCTTCATTGTGGGCATCGTGTGCACAGCGGGTCTGGTCGCTTACCTCTATAACCGCCAGCGGAAGATCCGGAAGTATAAGCTACAGAAGGCCCGGGAGCAGGCCGCCCTGAAGCTGAACACGCCACCCTGAGCCTGTCCCCGGACAGGGCCTCCCCCGGTGGCGGCAGTGTTGCATTGGACAGTGGCAGACACATGCCATTCAGCAGCACCACTTTCCTAGAATGCCAGGAGTCAGGATAGAGGCCTCAGCCAGAATACAGACAGCGTTCAGGGCCATGCCACCTGCACACAGCAAGCACGCCTGACCTGTAGCCACAGGGCTGAAGCCAAGACTCAGGGGCAAGACTATGGGCATGACTGTGAGGGATGCCAAAGGCTGGCCTGGCCAGAGGGGTGTGACGGAGACATACCTCTGACATGGGGACACCCAACTGGAAAATACGGAGACTCACCCTCCTGCAAGTGCCAAAGGCCCTCCAGTCCTGAGAGAGAAGCAGCCCTGCCCAGACACAGGCAGCATCGAAGCAAATCCCCACACTTCCTCTGACAGCTCTGACTGGCCCCAGCTGTCTACTTGACTGGCCCCAGCGCTGGATGATGACATATTTATTCATTTGTTCTTTTATCAGACATTTGTAAATAATAGTGGGGTTTTTTAGTTGATTTTTCACAGAGAGGAAGGGAGAGATAGGAGATCCTGCACGTCCCCACCCCCTCACGCCCCACTGGGACCCAGAGGTTGCCCTGACCTGAACGGAACCAGTAACCTCCTGGTGGATGGGAAACGCTCCATCCAATGAGCCACACCGGCTGGGCTAGTTACCAGATATTTATTAGTGCCTTCCATGTGTGGTAGAATGGTAAACAAGAGGAACAGAAGTCCCTGCCCTCAGGAAGCTCAGTCTAATCTCATGCAGGGTCATCAGGTCCAGATGTATTGGCTGTGCCCTGCACAAGAGTGCCTTACAAAAAGCCCACGTGGGGTGGAATTTCCCACTCCATTGGCCAAACTGCTTCCCCTCCCAGCAGGGAAACCAGCACGGTTTAGCTGGTGACAGGACAATTCACTGGCGCTGACCTCTGTTAGCCACCTCCACCCACATGCCCTCCGCTAGTGCTCACAGTGACACCTGGTGACATGCTTAAACACGTGTCCGCTCTCTGAGAGCGAAACCGTAGGATCTCATGGAACGATGCCCAACCCGCGGCCCCTGCTTTGTCCTCTCCTTGGGACCGTGTTCCAGCAGCTCCAAATTCCTGAGGGCCCTGCAGACAGCTGGGGTGGGGCTGCTTTCCAGCTCTTCCGGAAGCCTCTCCCTTGGGTTAAAGCTTTTTTTCACAGGCCCGGCCTCTCGTGAGTTGAGGCGATGTGCCCCGTCCAGCTGGAGTTCTTCCTAGCTGTCCTTCCACAGCCCTGCCCTACTTCCTCCCCCCAAGGAAAGCTGATGTTCAAGGCCCATCCCTGAGGCCCGAAACCAAATCTGGGTTTATGTGTAACGTTGGAGACTCAGGGGGGAAAATTAAAGACCTCTCTGCAAAAACAAAAACACCTCGTGTGATTTAACGTGGGGTCTGGAATCCCATTCTTGCGTGGAGGGAAGGGGGTATACATCGCAGGGCTCCCGGCCCTCTGGGAGCCTCTGTCTCTGGGTGGGGCTGAGAAGGCGGGGCTTTGGACTTCCTTATCTACAGAGCCAGCCAGGCTTCCTGGCGCGGGGTCTCTCGCTGCGGGCTCTTTGCCATGGGGTTTCTGCTCCCCGTCTCCCTCCTGGTTTTGCTGGCGGTGGCCTACCCGGGAGGCAGGAGCGCGCGGAAGGGCTGGGCCGCGCGGGCGCAAAGCCCCGGAGGCAGCTCCCCCGCGCCCTCCGCGCCCCCCGGGACCACAGCAGCGGCGTTCTGGATGCGCATAAGCCCCAAGTTCCTAGCCGTGCCGCCGGGGAGCTCGGTGTGGCTCAACTGCAGCAGCAGCTGCCCCATCCTGGAGGGCTCCGCCCTCCACACGGGGCTGCGGCGGGGCCAGAAGCTCAGCGGGCCCAGCTGGGTCTCCTTCCAGCTGCTGGACGTCAGGGCCTGGAGCTCCGAGGTGCGCTGCTCCCTCACCTGCGCCGGAGTCACGCGGTGGGCCGCGGCCAGGATCGACGCCTACAGTGAGGGCCGAGGGTGTAGGCCCCGCTGGGGAGCCGGGAGGGGGCCGGAGGCGGGGCAGCTGGCTGGCAGCCGCGCTAGGGGGCGCCCGCGGGCCTCGCTCAGCGGCCCCCTCTCGCTTTAGAACGACCTCACCGCGTGGTCCTGGAGCCCCCGGCCTTGGAGGGCAGCGAGTTCGTCCTGCGCTGCCACGTGACGCACGTGTTCCCCGTGGGCTCCCTGGTGGTCACCCTGCAGCGTGGCGGCCGGGTCATCTACTCCGAGAGCCTGGAACGCTTCACGGGCCTGGACCTGGCCAACGTGACGCTGACTTACGAGTTCCAGGCCAGGCCCCAGGACCTCTGGAAGCCCGTGACCTGCCACGCGCGCCTCCGGCTCGACGGCCTGGTGGTCGGCAGCAGCTCAGCACCCGTGAGGCTGACATTCTTGGGTGAGGCATCCTTGTACTCCTGGGACTCTGAGGGGGTGGAGAAGGGTTTTGATGACCCCAGGAGGGGGCACTTGGCCAGGCTTGAGCTCCGCGTGGGTCCTCACGCCTCCGAGCGCTCCGTTCCTAATTCTCACCTCCGGCCCCCAGCGTGGAGCCCCGCGTCCAGAGCCGTGGCTTCCGCTTCCATCGCAGCCTTCGTGGGGATTCTTCTCGTCCTGGGGGCCGTCTACCTGCGGAAGTACCTACAGATGCAGTCCCTGGCCTAGAAGGGGTGCTCCACGCTGGCTGAGTCGGAGCAAAATCTGGGACAATCTGGAGACCCCTCCTAAGTCAATAAAGTCTTCCTCAGCCAGCCTGCCCCTCGGCATGAAGGTCCCCCATTAGGGCACCGCCTCCGAGAAAGTGGCCTTTTTGGCCTTGTCACATCGCTTTCTCCAAGTTCCTTGTCCCCCTGAAGGTACCTGGGGGTCCTCCATCCTCCTGTTCTCCCAGCCGGTGTAGTAAACACATCTGCCGCGGGCATTATCAGCGCGGGGCAGATGGACACAGCCTAGGCCTGGAGGGCCTGGGGTTGGGGGCGGGCTTCTGCTGACTGGCTCCGCCCCTACCAGGCAAAAACAGCTCTGATTGGATGTTTTGTGTCCTCTCCTCCCTCCTCCCCCTTCTCACTTTGATCTCTTAACTTTACTGGAGGGCAAGAGTAATCTACAACTGATTCCCATAGTTCACTTGTTTTTAAAAATATATATTTTATTGTTTTTTTACAGAGAGGAAGGGAGAGAGAGAGAGAGAGAGCCAGAAACATCAACTAGCTGCCTCCTGCACACCCCCTACCGGGGATGTGCTCACAACCAAGGCGCATGCCCTTGATCAGAATCGAGATCAGAATCGAACCCGGGAGCTTTCAGTCCGCAGGCTGGCGTTCTATCCACTGAGCCAAACCGGTTTCGGCTCCCATAGTTCACTTGTTAGCTCTGCGGACAAGAGCACAAAACGGGCGGGTTCCCATGTCCACATGGAGGGGCGTGTGGGTGTGCAGAAAAGGTACCCACATGTGTTGACTGCTGGGAAGGAGCCATCAGAGGGTCCGCGTGGGGTGGCACGCGTTTCTGGCAATCTCCTGAGAGTCACAGGGCCCGGCGGAGGGCCCGATGCGGGATCAAAAGTATCAGTCGTTTGTCTCTTGGTGTCGCGTGGACACCATCCGAGCCTGCACCGGGTGCCTGGCGGGGCCCTGCGGCCCGGGGCTCTGGCCGCCGCGCGGAAAGAGAACGGGGGGTGCTCTCCCCGCAGCTCGTGCTCGCACACGCCGCCGGCGAGACACGTGCCCGCTGCACTCTGGGTAAATGCCCTCCTCGAGACGCCCGCGGACGCCGATGCGCGCGAACACGTGCTCCCGGCTCGCTGGCACCTGGGTCTCCGCCCCCTCCGTCGCTTGCGGGGGCGCAGCCGGAAGGGGACTAGGGGCTTGGCTGCAATCCTCCACTCCCCAGGGTCAAAAGGAGAAGGGTCTAGGAGGAAGGCATGGTGCGCCTACCTTATCCTGCGCTTCCCAAACGTCTCCTACCCCATAAATCGATCCTGGCACCAAGGGGCGTTGGTGGGAAGGGCAAAATATGGGGGCGGAGCTCGGAGTCGGGCTCATTTGCACAGCATCTAAGCTGGGGGTGGAATGGGGGGCGGGTGGAGATGGTCAATCCAGCATTTTCTCCCCTCCCCGACCTCCGCGTTGCCTCCTCTGGGGTGACGTGCGCTCAAGGCCGCCCCCAGAAGGCTCTGGGCGACTGGATCGGCTTCCACGCAGGCCCCCGGGGTCGCTAGCTCCTTCCTGCCCGCACACCTTCACCGAGGCCGGGAGCCCGGCGCGCGCTCGCCCTCCCGCCTCCCCCCGTCGCCTCTGCCGCCTCCCCCTCCTTGGAAACCAAGTTACCAACGTTAAACCAATCCCCGAGCGCAACTCTACCTCCTCCACACCCCACCCGCCGAGCTCAGCCCGGCGTCAGCTCCCCTCTCCGCCTGCACTTTCCCCGCGGCGGCGATGCCAGGGCCGCTCCGGGCGCTACTCGGCCTCTGGGCTGCCCTGGGCCTGGGGCTCCTCGGCCTCTCAGGTAAGAAGTGCCCGTCCCGGGTCCGGGTGGACAGGGCGGGGGCGGAGTTCCGGGCTGGAGAAGAGGCCACATGCCCCTCCCGGCTCCGCCCTCGCCTCGCTCCCACGCTTCTTGCCCCCACCTCGAGCCTGGGGCTTTCTGTATGTTTCTCCCTCCAACACACCCTGGAGATACAGCTTCTCCTCGACTCCTCGCTCGCCCAGACCTCCACCTTACCCGCCTCGAGATCCTGGGCTCTCTTCCGCGCCCAGCCTTGCACCTCGGAGCCCCGGTGTGGCGGGGACCTCCTCGTGCTCTGCTGGGCACCGTGGCCCACGGGTGGGGTGTGGAGGAGGTAGAGTTGCGCTCGGGGATTGGTTTAACGTTGGTAACTCGGTTTCCAAGGAGGGGGAGGCGGCAGAGGCGACGGGGGGAGGCGGGAGGGCGAGCGGGCGCCTGGCTCCCGGCCTCGGTGAAGGTGTGCGGGCAGGAAGGAGCTAGCGACCCCCGGGGCCTGCGTGGAAGCCGACCCCGTCGCCCAGAGCATCTCACCCCCTTGCGGCCCACGAAGACCCGATCTCTCCATCTGCGGGCACTCAGAGGCTCTGTTCCCTCCCGCCCTAGGCCTGGCAACAGGCTCCTCTCTGGAGCTGACCCCCGCAACCTCTTTTCGTGTCCTCACCCAGGTTTAGGGTCCTTCCTCACTCTTAAAATTCAGCTTCATTTTCTTCCTTTGCCCTCACCTCAGCCTCAGTCTCCCCTCCTCTCCGTGGTAACCCTGAGAACCAGCTGCTTCCCCTTCCCCCACCCGGGGTCCCCTCCTCCCAGGGTGGCTTGGGAATGGCGAAGATCCCCCTTTTCCTCTCTTCTTCCCTCATCCCTCCCTCCCATGCTTTCCCACCACCCCGTTGGCACCTCGCAGACCAGGGCTCCCCGCTTCCCCGTCCCAGAGGCTCCATCTAGGTTTGTGCCCTGGGAGCTCGCCTCCAAACACCTGAGGCCGGAGCGAGACGCTGGACCCGAGTTCTTTTCTCACTCCGGCCTCTGCTCCTTCCCCGGGGAAGCCTGACTTAGCCTCCCTGGGGCGCTGAGATGCCCGGGAGGGGGCTCCCCGGGCTGAGCCAGGCTTTCCCCGGGCAGCGGCCGCGCAGGAGCCCCTCTGGGCGGACCTGCAGCCCCGCGTGGCGCTGGTGGAGCGCGGGGGGTCGCTGTGGCTGAACTGCAGCACCAACTGCCCGCGGCCCGAGCGCGGCGGCCTGGAGACCTCGCTGCGCCGGAATGGCACCCAGCGGGGCCTGCGCTGGCTGGCGCGGCAGCTGGTGGACATCCGGGAGCCGGAGACCCAGCCCGTCTGCTTCTTCCGCTGCGCCCGGCGCACCCTGCAGGCTCGTGGGCTCATTCGGACTTTTCGTGAGTTCCCCGCAGCCACGCTCTTACTCCCGCTACTTTCCTTCCCTCCCCGGCCCCGCCCCCTGGGGCATGAGGTCCTCCCTCCCCTCCTTTTTCTGGATCCCCAAACCCTCACCTCTTGGCCCTTGGGTACCACACCACACGTTTCCAAGAACCTGGGTTCCTTCCTCCCTTGCAGAGCGGCCTGATCGCGTAGAGCTGATGCCCCTGCCTGTCTGGCAGCCTGTAGGCGAGAACTTCACCCTGAGCTGCAGGGTCCCTGGCGCCGGACCCCGCGGGAGCCTCACCATGACCTTGCTGCGCGGCTCCCGGGAGCTGGTCCGCCGCAGCTTCCCCGGGGAGTCGCCCCGAGCCCGAGGCGCGGTGCTCACGGCCGCGGTCCTGGCGAGGAGGGAGGATCACGGGGCCAACTTCTCGTGCCGCGCGGAGCTGGACCTGCGGCCCCACGGCCTGGGGCTGTTTGAAAACCGTTCGGCGCCCAGAATGCTCCGGACCTTCGGTGAGTGGGTGTGGGGAAGGGAAGGCGGCGCAGAGGGGGGTGGCCAAGGTGCTTAAGAAGTTCGGAGGCAGAGGAATCTGACTTAGAACCCTCAGGCCAGCACGCACCGGCTGAAAGCCATGTTCCTCTCTTGGACTCTCAGCACTGTCCCCGGAGCCCCCGCGCCTCGCCGCCCCCCGGCTCTTGGAAGTGGGCGCGGGAAGACCCGTAAGCTGCTCCCTGGACGGGCTGTTCCCAGCCTCGGAAGCCCGGGTGTACCTGGCGCTGGGGGACCAGAGGCTGGATCCGGATGTCACCCTCGAGGGGGACGCGCTCAGGGCCACGGCCACGGCCACGGCGAGCGCAGAGCTGGAGGGCGCCCGGGAGCTGGTCTGCAGCGTGACCCTGGGGGGCGAGAGCCGCGAGGCCTGGGCGAACGTGACCGTCTACAGTAAGAGGGGCGGGGCTCTGGACGAGGGCGGGGCTTCTGGCTGAGGGGCGGGGCCAGAGGGACGCGAAGGCGGGACCAAGAGTGCGTGGGGGTCTTAATATCGAAGTGGGCAGGGCCGGTGGAAGGCAAACTGAGTAACGGGAGAGGCAGAGGGGTGGAAGGGGATGCGCTGGACCACCTCAAAGCGGTGGGAGGAGCAGGGGCGGGGCCTCAGCAGTTGGAGGGGCGGGACATCGCATCCCCCAATGGCTCCCGCAGAGAAGGGGGATGGTCAGCGGAGCCCATGGTCCACCCCTAGGCTTCCCGGCGCCGCTCCTGACCCTGAGCGAGCCCAGCGTCCCCGAGGGGAAGGCGGTGACAGTGACCTGCGCTGCTGCTGGGGCCCGAGCTCTGGTCGCTCTGGACGGAGTTCCAGCTGCAGCCCCGGGGCAGCCCGTCCAGCTCCAGCTCAACGCCACCGTGAACGATGACGGACGCAGCTTCCTCTGCGACGCCACCCTCGAGGTGGACGGGGAGGTCCTGAGCAAGAAGGAGAGCACCGAACTGCGGGTCCTGTGTGAGTTGAGCTCCCGCCGCCTTATTCTCCCTCCCTCCTCCTCGCCCTCCCTGATCTCCCCGCTCCCCATCCCCATCCCGATCTCCAAGGACCTGCCCAGTCCCTGGCCGTCTGTGGAAATGGAGCCTTCCTCCCGGCCCACGTGGAGCCTTCTCTATCCTGCATCCCCGCCCGCAGACGCTCCCCGGCTGGACGATTCGGACTGTCCCAGGAGCTGGACGTGGCCCGAGGGCCCGGAGCAGACGCTGCGCTGCGAGGCCCGCGGAAACCCGGTGCCCTCTGTGCACTGCGCCCGGCCTGACGGTGGGGCGGTGCTGGCGCTGGGCCTGCTGGGTCCCGTCACCCGCGCACTGGCCGGCACTTACCGGTGCACTGCGGCCAACGCCCAGGGCGAGGCGGTCAAGGACGTGACGCTGACCGTGGAGTGTGAGTGGGGAGCCCAGGGTGCATCTCTCTGAGTCTCAGGGTCTGGGGGTGGCCACCTTTCAGGGGCGAGCAGGAGCAAGGTCTCAGGGCTGCCTTTTGGAGAGGATTTCGGGAAAGGGAATAATAGGCTGGTGTTTGGGGAAGATCTTGGATGAGAAAGGGTTGGCATGTCTGTAGGAGTGTGTGGGTGTGGCATTTGGGCAGAGGCTCAGAAAAGTGTGTGTTCCAAGCCACCTAACAATCTTTGTTTTATTTTATTTTTTAAAAATATATTTTATTGATTTTTTACAGAGAGAGATAGTTAGAAACATCAATGAGAGAGAATCACCAATTAGCTGCCTCTTGCACACGACCTACTGGGGATGTGCCCACAACCAAGGCACATGCCCTTGACGGGAATCAAACCTGGGACCTCTCAGTCTGCAGGCCAATGCTTTATCCACTGAGCCAAACCGGTTTTGGCTACCTAACAGTTTTTAGACTGAAGGTCGGAGCAGGGTCCCGTGGGTGCTTTGCAGGAATCAGTAAGATGTGCCCCCTCGTAGCTTATAAAGCCCCCAAACAATGCATGGCTTGACTGGCGTGACACGCCTTTGGTTCAGTGTCCCTGTGCTGGGCATGGCCTGCCCAACCCTGCGAGGTGGCCTTGGAACAGAAAAGAGGGTCTAGGGACATTCGGACGACGCCCAAACCCAACCACACACAACCCCCCCTCCAGACGCACCAGCGCTGGACAGCGTGAGCTGCCCGGAACGCATCACGTGGCTGGAAGGAACAGAGGCCTCGCTGAGCTGCGTGGCACACGGGGTGCCGCCACCCCACGTGAGCTGCGTGCGCTCCGGGCAGGCGGAGGCCATCGAGGGCTTGCTGCACGTGGCCCGGGAGCATGCAGGCACCTACCGCTGTGAGGCCACCAACTCTCGAGGCTCTGCAGCCAAAGATGTGGCCATCACGGTGGAGTGTGAGCGGGCGCTGGCGGGGGGGGGGGGCGGGGAGGGGGCAGCGAGGGGCAGGGTATGTTTGGGAAACTCTGGCCTGACTTTCAGTCCTTGCCTGACTCTCTGCTCCCCAGACGGCCCCAGTTTTGAGGAGCTGAGCTGCCCCAGCAACTGGACGTGGGTGGAAGGATCTGGACGGCTGTTTTCTTGTGAGGTTGACGGGAAGCCGCAGCCAAGAGTGGAGTGCATTGGCTCCCGGGGCACCACCGAGAGGGTGCTGCTTCCGCTGGCACCCCCAGACCCTAGTCCCACAGCCCCCAGCATCCCCAGTGAACCCGCCTCCGGCATCTACACCTGCAACGCCACCAACCAGCACGGCTCCATGGTCAAGACGGTGGCCGTGAGCGTGGAGTGTGAGCGGGGCCCAGGCGGGTGGGAGCAGGGTGCGCCCCGGTGGGGCCCCACCCTGACACCCCCCCGTGGTGGCTGCTTTGCAGCGCCTCCGAGAATGGACGAGTCCACCTGCCCGAGTCACCAGACGTGGCTGGAAGGGGCTGAGGCTGCCGGGCCCGCCTGCGCTGCCCTGGGTCGCCCCTCCCCGCACGTGAGCTGCTCCCGGGAGGGGGGCCCCTGGCCTCCGCGGATACGCGTGTCCCGACAGGATGCGGGCACTTACCTCTGCTTAGCCACCAACGCGCATGGCACCGACACCCGCACCGTCACCGTGGGCGTGGAATGTGAGTGGGGGCAGCCCCAGAGAGAGGGCCCTCCGTCCCCAGAACAGGGACTGGCACAGGGGGGGTTCAGAGGCACCTCCCCTAGTTCCACTCTCAGGGACAAGGGAAGGGACCCAGAGTTGAGAGCAATGAAAACTCTAGGGAACTGGAGCCTGTCCCCCCCGCCCTCCCTCAACTCAACCCAGAGAGTTGATTTCTGGATTCCTACCTCCTTGCATTCAATGAAGCAGGGCCCAGGATTTGGTACCTATCACAGCCAGCCTGTCCGGGGAAGGGGCTCCGATAGGAGGCAGGATCCGCCCTGTGCATCCCAGCAGGGGTGGTGGCAGACGGTGGTGGTGGAAGCAGGGAACTTGGGCATCCTCAGGGCTGGCGCTGAGCCCCCCGTCCTACCTCCTGTCCCCCCCCCCCCCCCGCAGACCGGCCAGTGGTGGCCGAGCTGGCCGCCTCGCCCCCGGGAGGTGTGCGGCCGGGCGGGAACTTCACGCTGACCTGCCGCGCCGAGGCCTGGCCCCCCGCCCAGATCAGCTGGCGCGCCCCCCCAGGGGCGCTCAACCTAGGCCTGTCCAGCAACAACAGCACCCTGAGCGTGGCGGGCGCCCTGGGCAGCCACGGCGGCGAGTACGAGTGCGCGGCCACCAACGCACACGGACGCCACGCGCGGCGCATCACCGTGCGTGTGACCGGTAAGTGGCCCTGTCCCCCCCCCCCCCCTCGGTCCCCACAGATGAGGTTGAGGGAGGCCAGGGTAGAAGTTGAGGGCAGCCTTTCGTGTGCAAGGCTTTTGAGGCCGGTTGGGGGTGTGAGGTGGAGGGAGAGGGAGATGGATGGATGAACGTCCCGGGGAGGATCCCTCTGGGGCTGTGGCTGCAGTGGGGAGGGACTTACGAACGTGGGGGGCGGGTTCCCGCCCGGTGGAGACTTGGTCCAGGGCCCCCTCCACTGCGTGGCCGTACAGAAGAGGGTTTGGGAGAGGGAACCATGGGCAGAGGGTGGGCTAGGTCCTTTCCCCTCCCGCTTCAGGAAGACTTGGCTCTTCCTGAGAGAGAGGAGTGACAGGGTTCGCCCCACCCCGCCCTCATCGTTTCGGGGGTGAGGAGAGTTGATATCTGGGTACCTCTGCTCAGCCAGGGGCTTCCATCCCCCCCCCCCCCCCCCCCCGTGCTGGGCGGCACGTAAAACGGATGACGGGTCGCACGGCACTGGGGATGGCCCAGGCGCGGCGCCTCGTCAGGGTGGGGGGAACCCCACGCTCGTCCACCCTCTTTGAGGGGCTCCCCCCCGCAGGTCCGTGGCTGTGGGTCGCCGTGGGCGGTGCGGTGGGGGGCGCAGCGCTGCTGGCCGCGGGGGCTGGCCTGGCCTTCTACGTGCAGTCCACCGCCTGCAAGAAGGGCGAGTATAACGTGCAGGAGGCCGAGAGCTCGGGCGAGGCCGTCTGTCTCAACGGTGCGGGCGGCGGCACCGGCGCCAGTGCCAGCGCCCAAGGCGACCCGGAGCCCGAGGGCACCGCAGAGACGCCTGCGGGGGGGGAGGTCTTCTCCATCCAGCTGACCTCGGCGTGAGCCCACCGCCCTCTCCCCGCAGGCCGGGGGACGCCCCCGACACACGCGGGGGCTTACCGATCGTTCTACTTATTCATTTATTTATGTATTCAGCTCCAGGATGTCGCCCCCCTTTTCTAACCCTCCCAGTAAAGTTTTTATAAAGGACTCTGGGTCTGTGTCGGTGGTCTCCGGAAGCAGCCCATAGGCTATTCCTTCATAACACCGTTTCGATGTTGAGGGCCTGCTATGTGCTGGGTGGACACAGTTCAAGACGTCTTTGCATGATGTGACCTGGAACTTCGCTCCATTGCCCATTTCCTGTTCTCACTGGGCTCCCGAGCCAGGGTGGGGGCCACACTCCTCCCCCCTCTCCCTGCTGCTCCTTCCTTGGCCTAGAACTGCCTCCAATTGAGCTAACTCTTGGGGGTGGGAGCTGGTGCTTCCCCAGAGCGGAGGCTGCCTTCCCACGATGGATGGACCTCCCTCCCAGGGGTCTGGGTGTGGATAGTAAAGGAAGGCAGTGGCTGCAGCTATGGTGTCAGCCCCTTCCCCACTATCAATGCTTCCTTCATTCAGTGCCTCGGTTTACCCCCAACCTGCCTTTGGGTTTGGCCCATGATTAGTACAGACGCACAGGGTATCAGCCACAACCCCCGAGGCACACCGCTATGTCCCTCACTCCCCACGGAGTAAGGAGAGATCAGCTGGGTTCCTACCCTCGCCTCAGTCTTCGGTCTCAAGAGCAGGAGCACAGGTGCAGGTCTGGACCGCTCCAGCTTCCTCCGCTGCCCAGGCTAACATTTCATGAACAAGGGTGAGAGCAAGAAGCAGGGGCGCCAGAGGCCAAGCCAGGGCTGGGTGCCAAGTACAGAAGGCAACAAGGCACAAGGGTGGTGCGGCGCCTGCTGTCCCACCTCCCTCCCCCCATCCTTCTCCTCACCCCCCCCCCCACCTTTCCCGAACCCCACAAAGTTCTGCCTGCCACAGGGCCTTTGCTCTCGCCATTCTATCTGCATGGAGTGTCGGCACCCCAAATAACCCCATGGCTAGTTCCTGATTCCAAGGTCTCTGTGCAAATGTCACCTCCCCAGAGAGGCCTGGAGAACCAGGGCTAAGACAGCCCCTCCCCCAGCTCCTTATCTCCTGCTATACGTTTATTTCTCTGTAGCAGTGACATTCTAATAGTCACGTAATAAAATATTGTTTTACTGACACTGGAATATTGGCCTTACTAGAGCAGGGATCCTTGTTCTGTTCAGTGTCCCCATTGAGGCCTAGCACACAGTAGCTGCTGAAAAACTGTTGACTAAATGGCTCAAAGCAGCCTGGAGCTTCTACATACACAGTCTGAGACCATCACGTCTTCCTAAGAAGTTCTCCGAGCTGGACACCAGGGTGGGAACCTTGGACCTTCAAAGTCAGGGTCCACTGGGGGAGAGGAACATAAAGAAATGACCCTGGGGAAGTAGAGCACTGAGAATTCTGCTAAGTTCTCAGCAGGAGGCCAGCCAGGAGCCTGACATGGGTGGGTGAGGGGCCTGTTTTATTCAGGGCTGTCAAGGGGGCTTCTTTGAAGGCTGCGAGGAGGAGGCAGCGAGGGAGCCCCGGGGGAGGGTGTTCTGGACCAAGGAAGGGCGAGCCCAATTGAGTTCAGTAGAAGGGCTGAATATGGGCGCAGACCTTCTGCACAAGCCCGCCCGGGGGGAGAGACAAAGAGGGTCTTGCATGGGCCTGTCTTTCTGGGGCATGTGGCCAGGGAAGCCTCAGCCACCCCCAAGGCAGGGACCACCTCTGCCCTCCCTGCATCCCACCCAGCCTTGACTCCCAGCCCTCCCTCTCCCTCCAAGTGAGCACAGCAGTCAGTGCGCCCTGGTGACAGCGGCAGGGCTGACCTCTGCCCCGGGCTTGCTTTCCCACCTGGCTTTTGGCTTCAGACTGGGGACACCTCTTGGAGGGGTCAGAGAGATCTTGAAAGGGGGGGAGGGGGACCCAGCGGGGACTGGTGCCTGTAAGGGTGCGATAGGTGACATTCTGCAGGCGGTGGGGGGGGGGGGGGAGCTCACAGGCAAAGGGCCCACTGTGTATCCCTGTGCACCAATGTGTCATCTGTGTGTGTGTGTGTTTGTGTGTCTGTTGACATGTGTGGCTGTACTGTATATGTGTATCTGTTGTGTGTCTATAGACTTGTGTGTCACCTATCGTGTATCAGTGGACATGTGTCTGTCAACCCATGTGTCTTTCAATCTTGTGGGTAGCCTGTCTCTAAATGTGTGTCTTGTGTGTGTGTGTGTGTGTTGATGCGTCTGTCTGTCTTGTGTGTGTCTCTCTCTTGTCTGTGTTGTGTGTGTGTGTGGTGCTGTTTCCCCGTGTGGACGTTGTGATGCATGTAGCCAATCCTCTACGGGGCGCTGGTGCCTTTATAGATGTGATTGTGTGTGTGTCCCTCGCCAGCCCAAGGAGAAAATGCCGCCCCACGTTCTGGGCCGGGGAGAGTGGCCGGGGAGGGCACCCCGAAGTCACAGCACTGCTTCTCTGAGGAGTTCTGCCCTTTATTGTCCATTCTATTCACAAACAGCACGGATTCCTATTGCGAACACTTCCTGAGTGGGAGCTCGGCCAAGCCTGACTGCAGCAGGGGCCAAGGAAGAGGCCAGTGAACCTCTGAGACAGGGGCTCTAGGGCCCGAGGCCTGGATCTTCTGCCTGGGGTCCCTGAATGGGGAGAGGGCAGAGGCAAGGCAGGCTGGAGCCTTCGAGACCCAGGCGTTTCCCCCTTTCCTCTTCGGAGGGCTTCTTCCCACTCTCCCCCTGGAGAAACCGAGGCAGGACAGGCTTGGCTGGGTGAGGAAGGGCTTACCCTTCCTGGGGTGGGCCTTGGCTGGGGCCCAGGAACATCCCACATCTGCCACATAACTTCTTGGGCTGCACATTTTTCCTGGGCACCAACCAGCAGCTGGAGCACCGGGTGCCATACTTCTTGTACCTGGGATGGGGGCACAAAAATCCAACATTCAGGGGGCGCCAGGGAAACCACTTCCCCAAGGGTGGTAATTTCCCCTTCCCAATACCCCATGCCAGCTAGGCACAGGCTGACTAGGCACAGGCTGACTGAGCCCCCCCTCCCGCCCCCCCACCCCCTCCTCCAGCCTGCAGACCTGATACCACAGGCATTGCAGAGAGGTGTCCCATCCTCGGCATCTCTCCAGAGCGGGGTTCTCTGGGTCCTACAAGAAGCACAGCGCCTGGCCCCTGAAAAGGCAGAGGCCAAAGGGCAGGAGTCAGAGGTCAAGCGTCCAGGCTCAGGAGGCTGGTGTGTGGTGGGGAGATCTGGGAGGATCTCTGTGAAGGCCCCGCTGGGCTCTGGGCCCCCGTCCCCGGGTGCTGCCATATCCCAGACAAAGGGAAAGTCAGGAAGGGAGACAGATGGCAAAGCTTGGCATAGGAGGAAGCCGGGGGTGGGGGTGACTCAGCAGAGTGAAGGGGGCACTGAGACTCATCCTGGATGGGTCTAAATGGGGAAGCGGGGTGGGGAGTAAGACAGGGAGGATAGAAGGCGCCCCCCTCCACCCCTTATTTATAGCTCTCATGTCTCCAGGACTCACCCAGGGCCTCGCTGCCTCCTGCGTTGGCCTCAGGGCCTGTAGGGGGAGCCTGAGAGCGGCTGCTGCTGGCCAGGCTGGGGGGCAGACAAGGCATTCGTATTCGGGAATCTGTACCCTGTCCCAGAAAGCCTCCCCAAGATTTACTATCAAAATATCAGGCATTTGCCCTAGCTGGTTTGGCTCAATGGATAGAGCGTCAGCCTGTGGGTCCCAGGTTCTATTCCAGCCAAGGGCACATGCCTGGCTTGCAGGCTCCATTCCCCAGCAGGGGGAATGCAGGCGGCAGCCAGTCAATGATTCTCTCTCATCCCTGATGTCTCTCTCTTTCTCCCCCTCTGTTTTCCTCTCTAAAATCAATTAAAAAAAAAAAAAATATATATATATATATATATATATATTTTTATTTTTATTTTTTTTTTTTTTAAAGGATATCAGGCCGAGACCGGTTTGGCTCAATGGATAGAGCGTTGGCTTGGGGACTGAAGGGTCCCGGGTTCGATTCCGGTCAAGGGCGTGTACCTTGGTTGCAGGCATATCCCCAGTAGGGGGTGTGTAAGAGGCAGCTGATCGATGACTCTCTCATCGATGTTTCTAACTCTCTATCTCTCTCCCTTCCTCTCTGTACAAAATCAATAAAATATATTTTTAAAAAAATAATAAATAAATAAATAAAAAGGGTATCAGGCATCCTTCAGGAGGCATCTGATGTCTGAAAGCCCTGGCTTTGTCTCTCATTAAGAATTTGAAGAGATAGTATGCTTGGGGAAATCCCATTTCTCTATGCCCTTGCTGTGTCCTTGGAAAAGTGATGTCCCCTCCGTGTTTCAGTTTCCCAATCTGTAAAATGGGCTTTGCAAGGCTTCAATGACCCATATGCACCAAGGGCTACCAGTTACCTCTCAGCTGTTGCTCCTGACAAGTGGCAGCTATTATCGTTGCTGGAAAAAGCAAGGGTAGCAGCCGCCTGCAGTGCGGTCAGGCCGGTCCCAAGAAGCGGAGGCCCAGGCCTGGCCTGGGATACGACTGGCTACGGCAGCAGGTCAGGGACTGGCACCAGTCCTGCCTGGAGCCGCCTCACCACAGGCCTCTGTCCTGAGCATTTTCACGAACCGCGTCCAGGGTGCCCTCACGGTGGCCGGTTCCTACCTGTAGCTGTGCACGATCTGCAGGCTGGAGTCCGGTTTTATCTGGAACTTCAGGGTCACTCCCTCGAACCCAGGGTCCACTTTCTCCGCGCCCTGGTGCGGCTTCGACTGCTTTCGGGGTCTCCTCTGAGGCAGGGCTGAAAGGGCTGGGGAAACCTCGGGAGGCCCCAGGCTGCCTCCTTGCTGACTGATTGGGGTCGGCATGGCCGGGGGACCCCTGGCCAGAGGTGGAGGCTCCAAACCCCCCAGGGCCCTCAGCTCCCAGCAGGGGGCCAGGGCCTGGGGGTCCTGGGCAGGGGCCTGGGCCAGCCCCTCTGCTGCCTCTCGGAGGAAGTGCAGGTTGGTGACGGAGGAGTCCTGACGTGCAGGCCAGAAGGAACTGGGGACAAGGGGCAGTGAGGGTGGTCACCTCCTTGCCTGGACAGCCCTACCTAGGCCTCAGCAAGGGCAACTGCATGGCCTCCGACTACACGGGACCCCGCGTCTCCCCGAGGATCAGAACCTCTTCTTGGTGGGTGCCAGAAACTAACACAGTGGCTCTTCAATAACCCCAGGAGCCAGGGGTCATGACCCCTTGGCCACTGGGCCCATTTGGGAGAAGGGGCGGCTCCTTAAACGCACCTGCTACTGGGTCTGAGGCATCTTGGGGTCCTTGGCGCCTGCTGGGCGGGGGGTCCGGGGAGCGGCTCGGGGTCCAGACATGATGGCGCCAGCAGCTCCCGCAGCAGCATGGAGAGGTCCGGCGCTGGCTCGGCCTCCATCATGCCCCAGCCCCGCCCCCTGGGCCCACGGAGGGGCGCCACCTGGGTGGAGCGGTGCGTGGTGCGAGCTTCGGCTCAGGGCCGATGGGCCCCACCTGGCTGGGGCGGCGCTGCGGACGCCGGCTCCCCACCCCCGCCCTTAGGCCGCCCTGCCCTGTCCCTCCCGCTCGGGGGCTCCGCTGGGGGCATGCACACCCCTCGTGGCAAGGGCGGCCTGGGCCCCTTCAAATCCCTCCGCGCCTGCAGGGGCGGGGCCTGGCCACGCTGACGCATACGTAGGCCCTCCAGTTTCCAGGCCCCACTCCGGCCTCAGTTTCCCCGCTGGCCCCCTCACAGCTGCGAGAGGCGGAGTTGAGGGCCTGGAAGATGAAGTTGTAGTTCCGGGGCGGGACGGGGCGGGGCTGCCCCCCACTTCCCCACCAAGGACACTCGGGATGCCAGCGTTCTGCAAGATGGTTTTATTGTCACTCTAATTAGACTCCAACCCTTTCCACACTCGGATTCTCCGGGGCGTGGGGAGGCCGCCCCAGCAGGGGCTCTGTCTCCACCAGAGCCTGGACACGGGATCCCTCTGAAGCATTTGGCTTCTCGGTGCTTCTGACATCTCTCTCGGGCCTGTCCACGCTCTGGGCTGGGCTGGCAACGAGGCTATTTCTCCAGTCCTGACCCTCGGGCCGTGGGTGTCCGGGATGGTCCAGGGGCCCGTTATCAGTGCGGCTTGGGGACGTGACCATCCACGTAGAAGTTCCTGGTGATCTTGGGCAGGGTGAATTCGGCCCCTTCCAGCTCCGGTGTCAGGATGATCTGGCAGCCCAGCCGCGAGTTCTCCTGGAGGAGGGGGGCCATGTCCAGCATGTCATCCTCCCTGGCGGGGGGGCAGTGGTTAGCAGTGGGCACGCTGGTGCCGAGGGCCCAGAGAAGCAGGGAGAGAGAGAGAGAGCGCCTTTCAGGCCGGGGAGGGGTAGGCTGACTTGAGTCCAGGGGAAGTGGTGAGAGGGCAGTAGCTGGAGGGGGAGAACAGCTGGGGCTGCCCCCCGCTGCTGCCCCGTGGACCTCGGGGCACCGGGAAGGAAAAGGTTCAACAGCCAGCCCTGCCGCTCCGAGCTGGAAGGGGGCTGCCCGCTCACCGCTCATCAGGAGAAGGCAGAAAGTCCAGGTGGTCCTCGCTCACATACACGTGGCAGGTGGAGCACGCCAGGGACGCTTCACAGGCCCCTGGAGGGCAGCAAGTGAAGGGAGTTTGGGTAAGTGGCATGATCAGGCGGTGTCATCCGGTGAAAGACATAACCACGTGCCCCGAATCTTTGGGCGCCCTCCCCCGTCCTCTACTCAGCCCGCCGTTCCTGAGCTGTGGATAGGTTTCGCAAAGGGATGTCCCAGGACTTCCCAGCCAGCTGAGGACCAGGCTGGGTACGGGGAACCATTAATGAGCATGGACTTGACTTCAGTGTAGCTGAGAGGGGAGGGCCAGGCAGGTTCCCAGCAGCCTTTGAATTCCCTTGCTGTGATCCTGTCCCTGTGCTGGGCAAATGTGTCCCTGCCTCCTTTCTGCTCCTGAATGGGAGACTGGCTCACTCAGCACTGGTGCATTAGGGGAAGGAGACAGGAAATAAAGGTTGAGATGCAGAAGCTGGGGTTTTCTGATTGTCCCTGGACACATTCCCAGTCTTATGACTGATGACTGAGAACTGTGCTTGCGGATAATGCCTCTCTTGGGTTAAACCTTTCAAAGGGGCCGAAGCCGGTTTGGCTCAGTGGATAGAGCGTCGGGTTTGATTCCGGTCAAGGGTCCTGAAGGGTCCCGGGTTTGATTCCGGTCAAGGACATGTACCTTGGTTGCGGGCACATCCCCAGTGGGGGGTGTGCAGGAGGCAGCTGATCGATGTCTCTCTCTCATCGATGTTTCTGACTCTCTATCCCTCTCTCTTCCTCTCTGTAAAAAATCAATAAAATATATTAAAAACAAAAAGAAAAAGAAAACTTCCAAAGGGTCTTTAAAGCCAGAATAAAATCCAAACTCCTCCACTCAGTCCTGGTGGTCCCCTTACCCCTCATTCACTCCACATCAACCACACTGGCTCCCTGGGCTCAGGGCCACCACCACAGGACCTTTGCACTGCTATACCTTTGGCCTGGAATGCTCTTCTCGCCACTCTTTCCATGGCCAGATCTTGTATTCAGGAACTCAGCTGTCCTCCAAGTCCCCCTTGCCTGTTTCTTGTTCTTCCCCCTTGTTAATTTATTAGTTTTTGTACAGCATTTATCACACCCTGTCAACCTGTCGTCTTCTCTCTGTACTTGGCACTGAGCCTAGCATGTTGTAGATGCTTAAGAGACATCTGTTACAAGTGAATGACAGGACAGAATTCTCTTTTCTTTTCCAGGCAAGTCGGATAATGAGAGCAGAGAAGCAAGGCAGTCTCCTGACCCTCTTCTGTATACCGGGGAGAAACTGGGCCTTGAAACTCCAAGTAGCCCCTAGCATCTTTTCCTTAACCGTTTCCCACCTTGTTAGCATCCTCATCCCTGAGATCAAGATTATCCTATCTAATAAAGACAGAATATGAGGGGTGGGGGGAGAAACTCTAAAAGTAATAAAAAAACAAGATGAAAGATGAAACACGGACATAAAAATTTTTCTTGTACATTTAAAAAAAAAAAAAAGACAGAATATGCAAATTGACCATCACTTCGAGACAAAGATGGCGTTCCACCCTACCCTGGCTGCTTAGGGCCTTGGGTGCTGACAGCCAGGGGAAGGAAGGCCTATTCTTGCACGAATCTTGGTGCATCGGGCCTCTAGTCTAACATAAATGTCCCAATTAGTCACTAACACTAACCATGTGCCAAGTACTAAGCATTACACATGACATCTGTTTAATCTTCTGTAGCAACCCACGCAAGAGGGAACTAAGTTATCCTATTTTATAAAAGAGAAAACAGAAGCCCAAAGATGCCAAGTGCCTTGCTCAGGGTCACACAGCTGGTAAAAGGCAAAATTTGAAAACAGGCCACTTGCCTCTAAAATTCATTATTTCAATCTGTGTCCTAGACTGCCTGCTACTGGATTCCAAAAAAAACACCTGAGGAAGGCCTGCCCTAACCCCCACTCTACCCCCACCATCTCCAACCCTCTAATAATTACATCAGCCTCCTTATTACATTCACCCAACAAACAATCATGTACTTTTTTTCCAGACCACCCTTTCCAGTTGATGATGTAATTACATGTTTACTTCCTATTAGGTTGAAATTGTGTGAAATGACAGGAGCCTTATCTATTTTAGTACATTGTTGCCTGGCACACGCTAGTGTTCAATATTCATAGAAAAGCAGCACAGATTTAGTGGCTAAAATTGCTGGGTTTGAATCTAATTTTGTCATTTCACCTTGGACCAGGTTTACATAACCTCAATTTCTTCACCTATAAAATGGGATAATCTGCCTGGCTAATGTTGCTCATGGCTGAGCATCAACCCATGAACTGTTCCATTCCTGGTCAGGACACAAGCCAGGGTTGCAGGTTTACTCTCCAATAGAGGGAGTATAGGAGGCAGCTGGTTGATGGTTCTCTCTCTCCCTTCCACTCTGAAATCAATAAAAACATATTTGAAAGCAAAAATAAATAAAATGAGATAATCTCCCGTATAGCATAAAGTTGTCATGAAAAGTCAGTTAATAAGTGTCAACATGCTTAAAGTAATGTCTGCCATTACTGTCTTTCCTTCAACAAATACTGATTTAATACCTGCTGTGTCTAAATTCCATGAGAGGCAACAGATGTGCGTAAACAAGGCAAACAAGGTTTCTGATCTCATTCTGGGGAGAGATGACAAAGAAGGAAACAAAATGGTGAGAAGTGATATGAGGACAATAAAACGCAGTAACATAAGAGACTGGGCCGAGTGCACTTTAGGTCCACTGAAGGGGATGCTATTGTCAGGAAGATGACATTTACGCTGAGACTTGGAGGAGGAGAAGAAACCAGAAGATCTGATGGAAAATCACTTCAGACCCTGGGGGTAGCAAATGCAAAGGTCCTGAGGCAGGGATGAATTAGGCAGCTTGAGGAACAGCAAGAAAGTCAGTGTGGCTAGAATGGAGGAAGGAAGGAGAAAGATAACACAAGCTCCCAGGGGCAGTTTTCGTGGCCTCTAGGAAATGCTCAATAACGCTGGGGAACGAACCTAAGAGCCACCTGGGCAGGGCAGGAGGCAGTGCTGAGGAGTCTACATTTAGCCCAGGACTGGGGGAAGCCATGGAGTGTTAATCAGCAGAGAGATGACTAATTTGTGTTTTTTTTGCAAGGAAAGATAAGGGCCTCGGAAATTCCCTGTGCCTGGCTCCCACCTTCCAGGTCCACCCCGTGGCGCTGGGCCAGGTGGAGAACATTATCCCCGACTCTGCCTCTCACCGGAATCCGTTGGCCTGACCGGTCTACGAACACCACGTTCACCCTGAGGACAGATGGGAATGCAGATGCCGAACTGGACGATGGCTCAGGGTTCAGGTGGGACCCAGACTCAGGACAAAGCGCAGGGGAGCTCCAACGATGGGGCTGCGGGGTATGGCGGGGACTAGAAAAGCCTCGTGGGATGAGGGATGGGGGACTCCTCCCACCCCCACTCACACGTCCCCGGGCCGCTCGGGGCCGCTGGGTTCTTCCTCCCCCGCCGAGCGCGAGCCTGGAAAACACAGTTGGGTGAGCCGCGCGCAGCGCCCCGCGGGCATTGGGCGGGTGGAAGCTGCCCTTCCCCGGACCCGAGGCGCCGCAGGTACCTGTCACCCGGAATTTTCTGGCTGTCGCTGGTGACGCCGCCTCCCCGGACCCCAAAAACCCCCCTGAACGGCTCCACCAGCGACCTTTGGCCACCCGCAGCAAGAACCCAGCGTTCATGCCGCTCCGGGCCACGGAGGCGGCCATGACAGGCGTCACGTGACCCGGAAATGGAGCATGCGCCGTGGCGCACAGGCGAGCAGGGCTCAATTCCCGGTATCGGCGCCTGTCGATGTCCGCTTACAGGGCAAGAACCGCTGGAGCTGGGGAGAAGGGGCAGCGACCGGATCGGGCACACCAAGGCCTGTAGAGGCCTCCCCAGACCTCCCACCCAGGCCCATTGTCTCAAGAACCAGTCAGCTCTGCTTTCTTTAAAACCATTTACTTACAAACTTTAATTGAGCAAATGTCTTTGTGAGAGGAGGGGGACCCCCAGAGTAAGAAGGAAGCTGTGGCCTAGCTGGCCAGGGGCGGGGCCCAGGGTCACTTCAGGCCAACAGGTCCTGCTGGTGGGCAGGGGCAGAGTTGATCTGCATGGAGTTGTGGGATTCCAGCAATGGTCCAAGGGGAGGCCAGCTCCAAGTGACCTGGCCAGGGATGGAGGTGAAGCTCATCTTCAACGTGGGGGAGTCGGCAGAGGGTCAGTGAGGTGCACAGTGCCGGACTCCCAGAGACAAAGCGCAGGGGGACTGGTTGCAGCGGGCAGAGAAAGCCTGTCGCTGCACCTGGGACCAGGCAGAGGAATGGTGGAGTTGGTTTGCTAAGGCCAAGGCTTTGGCCTTCTACTGTCCCCAGGGTGGGGACCCTGGGTAGAGGGATCCAATCCCCAGGCCAGAGCTGTTTGGTCCTGAGTCAAGCTTCCAAAGCTTGACGTCTGAAAGGCTCTGGCCAGTGGGGTTGGGGGCCCTGCTTTAAGGCATCAGAAGGCAAGGGGACTGTGGCAGGGAGCAGGGCACCCAGTGCTGGAGTACAGGCCAGACTGGGCAGGCAGGGGCAGGAGGCCACCATGCCTGCAACAGACATGGGAGAAAGAGAAAAGAGCTGAGCCATTTCAAACTGAAGAGTGTGGAATGGAGGCACAGACATGTTGAAACTTGCAGGTATAAGACCTGGGGGTCGTTCTGGATTATTTAAAAAATAATAAAAATTAGAAAAGGAAACGAAAGTCAATTGTCAAAGTTAAAAAAGGGGGATAGTCTCTGATCCTCACGGGAGGTCAGGGAAACCTCCAAGGCACTCGAAAGGCCAAGATACAGGAGCAACGAGGCAGGAGCAGGCTCCCCGAGAGGCGGATGCCGGCGGACACAGGGAGGGCAGAAAGGGGCCCAGCCTGCTCTCTCTCTTAAGGCTGCAGGGTTTCCGTGCTAGGAGCAGACCAGAGATGCAGAGTAGCCCCCAAACTCTCCCACACTCCTTGGGCTCCAGCTGGTTGGTCAGCAAAGTCTTTCAGAGATTTTCTATTACTGAAAGGAAAAAACAAACAAAAACACAAAACACCAGAAAACCCAAAAGCAATTTGGTGCAGGCCCTGGAGCATCTCTGGCACTAGCCCCTTAGAAAATCCTCTTGCGCTTCAGGTACGAATCTGCATAATGGCCACCAAGGCCTTGGGAGTGCTGTCCCACATAGCTGCCTTCTGGGCTGGGCTCTGGTGAGGGCAGCAGGTGGGCAAAGCTGCGTTTCTGGCCACCCAGCGGTGTCTAGAAACAGAGGAGAGGGGGTAGCGAGTCAGGGGCCACCTGGGGGTCGCCATTCCCCACTGTGTGTGCCCTCAACCCTTGCCCGTACCTTCAGTAGGTGGCTATGGCCATTGGGACCAGGGCCCAGGCCCAGGAGCCCTTCTCCGGAGCCCAGTGGAGAGGAACCAACCGCCTGGCAGAAATGGGAGATGGGATAAAAAAATCCCCCAGAGCAAAGGTCAGGACTTCCGGTTCAAATCACGCCTCCGCTGCTTTCTAGCCATGACTGGTGGGTGAGGGTGGGGACGATGACAAATTAGCCCTGTCTCTGAGCTTCAGTTTTTTCATCCATCAACTGGGGCTAATACCACCCAACCCCTGGCTTCTGGGAAACTAAGTGGAGGCTCAGAAGGCTGGGCAGCATCAGGCGCTACACACACAGGTGCAGGAGGGCTGTTCTAATTCGCCTTGGCAAAACGGATCCCTGCCACCACCCTAGCCATTACCTAGGCACCGAGGCTCACAGAGATCCCTGGTTGTCCCTGGGAACCTATGCTCGGCTGGGGGCGGCTCCTCACCTTGTTAAGGTGGCTTTGCTTGAGGCCAGCCTGCAGGCCGCTGGTGAAGTAGGAAGTGGGCGAGCCCGAATAAAAGTGAGAGAAGGATCCCCCGCCTCCTCCGCCACTCCGTTCGCTGAAGCCACCGGGTGGAGGGGACATCTGCAGAGAGGGGGAAGGCTGAGGGAGGCAGACTACTGCAGTATCCACCCACTTTTGCAAACCACTCCTAGATGACTCTGGACTATGGCCACAAGCAGAAGTGCCTGCCTTCCCTTCTGCCTCTAGGGAATCCTGGGATCACCACCACGTGCACAGGCTGGCCGGCTGGAGGGCTAGTTCCACGTGGAGCTCACCAGCTGAGGCCCCTAGACAAGGCCCATTTCCCACCATATTGACCACCAGGTATATGACTAAGGCCCCTGTACACTGTTAAGCCTCAGCTGAGCTGCAAGGTGAGTGTAGAGAACCACCCACCCGCCATCCCACAGTCTGGTGTGAATAACGTTTGCTGTTCTAACACTCGTGCAGCAAAAGCTAACTGATACACCTGGAAGGTGGGATTCACAGGGCAGCTCTTACTCTGTGTCGGCTGGGTCCGTGAGGCCCGAGGGCTGGCTCCCGTGGGTGGGGGAAGGGCCGCCTCGGTCCCATGTCCTGAGTGAAAGTGGGAGAAAGTGTGTTGAGTTGGGGTCTGCACCAACCTCACACTCTTAGCTGAATTCTCCAGCACATATGTCATTAGGGAAGTTTGAGAGGGGAAACTCAGCCTGTAGAGTGGAGCAGTGGGACGGAATGTGCTGTCCCAGGGCTGGCTCCACCTAAGACCCAGAGATGACTGCTGTGAAGTCAGGTGGCCCCATTGGAGCCATGTGTGTGGAGTTTTCGAGGCAAGCTGGGAATCAGAGTTGTGTGAATGCTTGCAATTTTTATATGTTGGTATCGGTGTCTACTTCAGTTTTTATTAAAATAGATTTCACTATCAACTGTTATTCTTTTATGTATAAAAGGCTAAGTAACCGGCCCTAAGTCCTTCCAACCATCTGATAAACTGTGCACTGGCAATTTAAAAATAAATGTTGCTCTAACCCAGTGGTCAGCAAACTCATTATCAACAGAGCCAAAAATCAACAGTACAACGACTGAAATTTCTTTTGAGAGCCAAATTTTTAAACTTAAACTTCTTCTAACGCCACTTCTTCAAAATACTCGCCCAGGCCGTGGTATTTTGTGGAAGAGCCACTCTCAAGAGGCCAAAGAGCTGCATGTGGCTCTTGAGCTGCAGTTTGCCGACCCTAACTGGTTTGGCTCATTGGATAGAGCATTGGCCTGCGGACTCAAGGGTCCCAGATTCGATTCCAGTCAAGGGCATGTACCCTGGTTGTGGGCACATCCCCAGTAGGAGGCGTGCAGGAGGCAGCTGTTCAATGTTTCTCTCTCATCGATGTTTCTAACTCTATTCCTCTCCCTTCCTCTCTGTAAAAAAAAAAAACCACCACAATAAATATATATTTTTTAAAAATGTTGACTTGCACATGTGCAATACATATAAAGCACTTGTTGGCACCAATCTATAGTTAAAAGTAGGAATATTCCTACCTGAACCCATTTTTCTGACATGGTCAGTTATATGTTGCTTTCTTTCAGGTCCCAAGAATGTGTGACATTAAAGTTGTAAATACTTCAACCCAAGGGAAATTAGTCGAGCACTCTGAAAGTGCTTTTACTCTTTTTTTTTTTTTTAATTTATTTTTTAAAATATATTTTATTGATTTCTTACAGAGAGGAAGGGAGAGAGATAGAGAATTAGAAATGTCGATGAAAGAGAAACATCGACCAGATGCCTCTTGCACACCCCCTACCAGGGATGTGCCCTCAACCAACGTACATGCCCTTGGCCGGAATCGAACCTGGGACCTTTCAGTCCGCAGGCTGACACTCTACCGCTGAGCCAAACCGGTTTTGGCTGAAAGTGCTTTTACTCTTAATGTGGTATACAGGGAGATATTAGAGTAAGTTTAATCCATTTATCAGTCATTGTTTTTATATTGTTTTAGGTTTTATTTGTAGTGTTTTTGTTTTTATATCATGTTTTTATGTCATGTCTTTGTTGTTATATCATGTTGTTATTGTTTATTTATTAATTTATATATTATTTTCATATATATTTTACTAATTTTCTTTCATCTCTGACACTTCTATTTTATAGAGAAAGGGCAAATAGCGATATTAAAATATTTCTCCTAATTAATTGCCTTTCAACGTGCACGAATCCATTCACCAGACCACTAATTTTTCTATATTACAGTGTGGGTCACACATAACACAGGTGGCCCACAAGTGGCCAGTCTGCAACATCTGACCTGGAAGACGCTGGAGCCATAGAAAGAACAGTTCCCCAGGACAGAGACCGGAACCTCAGAGGGGAGAGGCGAGAGAAGGCAGAGAGACAGGAAGCGGAGTCCTATCTCTAAGGGATGCGGAAGTACAGCCTACCGCCTCTTGGGAGAGAAAGACAGACAGGAAGCAATGCCCGATGTGCAGAAACAGACAAGACTGAAGGGCAAGGACTGTGTCTGGGATGTTCCCCGCTGTCACAGTGCTTGACCTGGCAGTGTCAGTCCTAGAGAAATACTGGTTTGGAGAATGACTTGCTCCCAGGAGACAAAGGGCCACAAGAGCCAGCCCTCAGGAGGGCTGACAACGGGGCACAAAGTTACTCACCGAAGGGTAGTCGAAGCCATAGCTGTCAGGAAGCCCTGGTTCGGGGGGCAGGCGCGTGCTGGGGAGGGGGCTGAGCAGGCGGGACTTGAGCTGGAAGGCTTTGCTGCTGCCGCCGCCTCCACTACCTCCACCTCTGGGGACTGGGGGGTTAGGCAGGGGGCCCTCAGCTGGGCGGTGGCTTCTCCCGGCGCCTCCCCAGCCCCGGGCCTCCTTACTCGCCAGATTGCTGGCAGGGAGCAGGCTGTGTAGGTTCAGGTAAGGGTTCAGGGGGATCCGGAAGTCCTTGGGGGGCTCCCCCAACAGTGAGACCTGTGGCGAGAGGGCTGGATTCGAGAGGGTTCCTGACGGGAAACGTCGCAGGGCAGGAGACTGGAACAGTGCTGGGAGCAGGACAGGACCTTACCCCGGGCGGTGCTGGCAGAGGCCCGCTCTCTTTCTGCAGGCCTCTGAGGCCAGAGCCTAGGAGGCCCACAGGGGCAGGGGGTGTAGTGAGCTGGGCTGCTGGGGGACCCAGGCCCATGGGTTCTCGGTCCCCTCCGGAAGGACCAAGCAGTGGCGGGAGCAGGGGTGGTGGCTTCCCTCGCCGGGGTGGCAGCTCTGGGGGCAGGCCCCCTCCTACAGAGAGAAGAATGTCAGTGGCCCAAACATACGGGACCCTTCCTTCCCAGGGTCCTAACGCATTTTCTTGGGCCAGGGTGAACTGCCAAGGAACACCTATGTGCTGGGCACTGAGTAAGCCCTCTGAGTACATCAACTCCCAGAATGCTCAAGGGTTCTCCCAGAAGGTGGGCGCCCAGCTGACAGACACTGAGACCCAGAAAGGTTAGGGCACTTGCCCAAGGCCAACTGGAAATGTACCACCCAGTAAGGAAAGGGGAAGCAGGATGGGCCCAGCGAGATGACAAGGGGAAGGGTCTGTTACCTGCAGACAGCTCCCCAAGGAGGTGGTTGGCCGACTGCGCCCCAGCCTGCAGGTTGCCCAAGGGAGAGTCTCCTAGGATCCCGGGCTTCTGGGGACAGAGCGCAATCAGCTGGTGATGGGGGCAGTGTGGCCTTAGCAGCAGACAGCTATTGCCAAGGGTCTCAATGCCCAGCACACCCAGATTCTAGCCCACGCGTTCACGGGCCCCCCCATGTCTGTGACACCCTGGCCATCACCCATCTGGCCAGCTAGTGGTCCCCAAGGACCTCCTGCATGCCAAGACCCACCTGAGACCCAGGAACATGGACCAAACACTCAGTAGTCAGCGTTAATATTACACACACACACCGTGACAATCCTTAGGCACCCACCACCCCACACCCAGCCTCTTTGCCGATGATCACAGAAAGAGTCATTCTTCACTACACAGGGATTCAGTCAGTCTTCGGCACACCAAAGTCCAAGCACACAACTTCACACTGCCAGCTATCATCGGACATACTCATGCCACTGACACGGCCCCAGTGAATCAAACCAGACAGGGTAGTACATGTGTGTTCTATTTGTCTGCGTCCATCTCTGTGAGGTGTGTGTGCGTGCTCTAAGGTGTGGTCTCTGTGTGTCTATTTTTGTGTGTATATGTGTCTCCATGTATATCAGTTTTTGCATGTGTCTCCCTGTGTGCACTGAAGTGGTACGGTGTGTATATTTGTGTGTATGTGTCTATTTTTGTGTTTTTGCATGAGGGAGTCGGAGTGAAAGGCCATTCTATTCCCTGGTGGAGCCAGGTCTTTCTTCCCCAAACTGAAACCTGAGCACCTGTGACAGGTCAGGCCCCATAAAGCACCAGAGACACAGTCAGATGGCCCACAACCCCAAAGGCGAGCCCCAGATATGAGTAGTGTTTGAAACTGAAAGGGAAAGGGCTATGGCAGCACGTGTGAGTGAGGGAACCTGGGGCCCACACCCCTGTTACCTTCTGACCCTGGGTTTGCAGGGCCAGCTGCAGCAGCGCCGTGGACAGGGCAGGCCCATTGAGCAGTGGCATGGCTGGGGGGGCACCCAGGAGACCTGGAGGGAGACCAGGGAAATGGGCAGTGATCCCTGGATGGAAGCCCCCCTCTGCAATTCAGAGGCAGCCCTGCGCCTGAAGCCATGAGAGAGCAAGTGAACAGCCCAAAGGAAGGGCCTGGGAAGGGAGAGTCTGCCCTGGGAAAGGAAGGCCCCTTTCCCATCGCCTTGCCTCACTGCAGGCTGCAATGCTCCCACCTATGACCGCATGCAGGTGACCTCTGTTCTTAACCCAGCTCTTGCACATGGGGCTCTTGTCACAGGGAGCTCAGGTGGGAACAATCCCTGGGAGATGTCTGGCTCTGAGAGGCTGGGGACGGTCCCCACAGTGCCCCACCCACTGTTCACCTGACACGCCTTACCCTGTTTGCCTCCTGAGTTGCTGTGAAGCAGGGGATTGAGCAGCAGCTGGAGGGAGGCGGAAGGCCCCAGGTTGTTGAGCAGCTGCAGGATATTGGGTTCAGGCAGGAGGCCTTTGCCCCGATTGAGGGCCTGAGGAGAGAAAAGGATGGTGGTTCAGAGCCCTGCCAAGCCACAGAAGTGGGGCCTCATCCTTCCTTATGGCCCCCAGAACCTGAGTGGCAACCGCCAAGAGCCCTGATTTCTCAGGGGAGGAGAGCCCGGCCTCCCCAGTTTCCCAGGCCCACTCCCTGGGCACACACTCACCGTGGCCTGGGCAGCGATGAGCGCAGCCAGCATGCTGCGGCCAGGGGGCCCTGGGGCACAGAAGGAAATGCGCAGGTGGCTGCCCCCCAGGGCCAGGCCGTCTGCCTCCTGCTGCACCTCTTCAGCCATCTCGGCGGTCTCGTACTCCAGCACAGCGAAGCCCTTCAGCTGCCCATCCTGGCCGTACGCCAGCTGGTGAGGGGAGGAGGAGGTGAAGATGAGTGCCAGGGGGACAGTGACCACTCTCACAGAGTGACAACTGTGATCAGGCATGGAGCCCTATTAAGAGAGACCCCCACCCCACAAGATAGGGTAGATTTTGGGGCCTGGCACTGTTCTGGGCCCTGTTCCTCATTAGTTCATTGAATCTTCCCCATGGCTGGGAGAAGCTGCATCCTACCCATTTTTCAGAGGGAACAACTGAGGCTCAGAGAAGTCAGTATGCTCAAAGTCGCACAGCTGGTGGGAGGACGACGCTGGGACCCGTCTCATAGGGATCAACTTCCTTGGGCTTCATGCCAGTGTCACTTTGGGACTTTGAGATTCCCGAGCATAGGAAGCAAGGAAGCATGGGAGGAGGGGCTGGCTGCTAGAGAGGCAGGTGGGTGGCTTTGGAGCACCACCAAATCAGAAGCCTCAGGCCAAGGACACTGCACCAGGGCTGGGAAGGCACACAGCCTGGGGGCAAAGCAGGTGGCCTCTGAGCTCAGGCTGGTGGTGAAAGGGAACAGAGGTGTCATCACGGCAGACGAGGGAGACCTGTCCACCCCCCTTGATTGCAGCCATTTGGTACGTTAGGCTTTCAGCTCCTCCTCTAGGCCCTTGGGGCAGATGTGTTCCCAGACTGAGAATTTTTAGGAAATCAGAAAGGGAGAATACCACATATATTATATATTACATATCAGTCACTCCAGTAGGGTCCAGGGCACCCTGAAAACCAAATGCAAATAGCTCTGCATCAAGACACAAAGAGAAAGGCCACGGACAGCCCCACAGCAGCTCTCTGCTGCCAGACCTCTTGGTTTTCCCGGTATTTCGGGTGCTGGAATTGTGGATGGGGACTATGCCAGGGAAAGCAGATACTGGGTGAGAGCTGGGCTCTTCACTGTGTCCAGATGCAGGCACTGTCAGCATACCCACTTTGCAGATGAGAAAACTGAGGCTCTTGAGAGCGGCAGTCCCTTGCCCAGGCCATATTGCTGGAGCTGGGATCAAGCAAGGCAAAGCTGATACCGTTAATAGGACTGGCCACCTCAGCATGGCGATGGCTGTCCCAAGAGCTAATATCATTTCTCTGGGTTCTGACTGACGTAGTGTGGTTTGGGACCAACCCAATGTCCACCAGTAGGGAATGGTACAGAGTCCATAAAATGGAATATGGCACCGCTGCAAAGGGAATGAGAAAACTCTCCTGTCTGAACACAGAAAGATGCCCAAGACAGAATGAATGGAAAAACCAAACCAATGTACAGCAATGAATGGATCAAGAAGAGCCCATCTCTGGCCAGGCCCCATACCAAGGCCGGGATACACATCTCCTCACAATCACAGATGAATAGAGACTCAGAGGGTTAAAGGGCAACCAGATGGGGAAACTGAGGCTCACAGAGAGAACTTGTTGTTCTTGCCAACCTCAACCTCCACATGAGGAAGTGGCCCTTGAACGAATTCATCTATGTCCTGAGCCCCACCCAGGACCTAACACACAGTAGGTGCAGGAGCATGAATGAATGCTGAGAGAGCAAGGAGAGGAGTTCCTACAGATGTCCCACTCCCCAGGTCCTAGAATCCACTCATCCGGGAGGAGTGGGCCCCACCTAACGCCAGAGCTGGGGTCTGACTCAGGTATCGGCTTCCTCTAGGCTGTCTGGGGCTCTGGAGTCAGACTGCAATGTTCCAATCCTCCTCCTACCATGTCCTGGCTGCATAACCTGGGACATATGACTTGACCCCTCTGTGCCTCAGTGTCCCCACCTGAAAATGGGGATTATACTGCTTACGGATAAAGGGACTGCAATAACATGCTCAGAATCCAGTGAGTGCTAAAGGAACGTCTGCCTTGGGGGACAGGGGGAAGGAGGGCAAGACCATCTGGCCTGGCCTATTCTTACCCCACCGGGCTTGTCACAGGCACACATACAGAAGTGCCTGACAAATGTGACTTGGATGAACCAAGGATTGTTTTGTTAACCAGTGTGTGAACACTGAATCTCAGAATGATCTGGTCAATCCATTTTCTGACCTCAAGCTAAACAGACTGTGGGCTCCTCCCGAGCAGTCTCTCAGTGCTGGGCCTGAGACCCAGTAGGTGTTCAAGAGATAGCTAACGAGTGCAGGAGGGAAAGTGAATGAGGGTGAACAAGCTTTGGCCCAGCTTTCACAAAGGCAGCCTCACCTGCACTTCACATGGGGAGCGGCCAGCGAGGTTAAACCAGGCACTAGGGGGAGTGCAGGGATTTGAACCCCAGTCACTTGACTCCTATCTGAGCACCAAATGGCCTAACAAGACCCCATTCAAAATGGCAATGTCAACACTTCACTGAAAAGAGATCCAGGAGATTGGGGAGGGCAGGTGAACCCAAAGGACCCCTCCCAGGTGCTCCAGGCCTGGCAACTGCTCCCCAGGTTCCCACGCCAGGCGCAAGCTCACCTGGCAGAAGGTTGGTGTATGGACAGCCGACAGAGCCTGACGCAGGGCGTCCACGTCACTGAAGCCAGGGGGCAGGCGGTCAACACAGAGGCAGCGGGAGTGGAGCAGGGCGGGTGTCAGCTGTCCGGCATCTGTCCAGTGCACGTAGAGGGTGCGCGTGCCCAGCGGCTTGCCCAGCAGGTCCGATTTGGCACGGGCAGCCGAGTCCTTCTTCATGTACTCGGCAAAGCCATAGCCCTTGGAATGGCCAGTGCGCTCGCTATAGACCAGGAAGCAGCGTTCCAGGCTGCCGAAGGGCCGCACCAGCTCCTCGAACTGCTGCTGAGTGAGGCTGGGGGGCAGGTTGGCCACGCAGAGCAAGGCATCAGTGGGCTGCAGCTGCACCGACAGCTCGCGCTCCCGCAGGCTGCTCTGGTGGAAGGTGCTGATGGCGGCCTCGGCCTGCTCCCCGTTCAGCAGGGTCACAAATGCTGCGGCAGGAGGGGGAGCGGGTCAGTGGGGTCCTGGAGGGCCTGCCCCTCGACCCCATGGCTGCTCGCCCTCACTTCTCTCTAAACCAGTGGTTCTCAACCTATTTATTTATTTATTTATTTATAAATATATTTTTATTGATTTTCCACAGAGAGGAAGGGAGAGGGACAGAGAGCTAGAAACGTCAATGAGAGAGAAGCATCGACCAGCTGCCTCCTACACACCCCCTACTGGGGATGTGCCCACAACCAATGTACATGCCCTTGACCGGAATCGAACCTGGGACTTTGCAGTCTGCAGGCCGACGCTCTATCCACTGAGCCAGACCGGTTTCGGCATGGTTCTCAACCTTTCTAATGCCGTGGCCCTTTAATACAGTTCCTCCTGCTGAAACCTGTTTGGCTCAGTGGATAGAGCGTCGGCCTGCAGACTAAAGAGTCACAGGTTCGATTCCGGTCAGGGGCATGTGCCTTGGTTGCGGGCACATCTCCAGTAGGTGTGCAGGAGGCAGCTGGTCGATGTTTCTCTCTCATCCATGTTTCTAGCTCTCTATCTCTCTCCCTTCCTCTCTGGAAAACCAATAAAACATATTTAAAAAAAAAAAAAAAATACAGTTCCTCCTGTTGTGGTGACCCCCAGCCATAAAATGATTTTCATTGCTACTTCATAACTAATCTTGCTACTGTTAATGAACCATAATGTAAATATCTGTGTTTTTCGATGGTCTTAGGTGACCCTGCTAGCGTTTCTCAACCTGTGGGTCGCGACCCTGCTGCTGTAGAGCCTAAGGCCATCGGAAAACACAGACATTTACATTATGATTCATTAACAGTAGCAATGAAAATCATTTTATGGCTGGGGGTGACCACAACAGGAGGAACTGTATTAAAGGGTCAGGGCATTAGAAAGGTTGAGAGCCACTGCTTGTGTGATCTCAGAATACTGACCAACTAAGACACCTCAGGCCCCAGTGGACTAGACAGTGGCTAGCTTTGAGCAACTCGTGCAGGTGTCTTCTACCTCCAGGAGGCCTGCTTCCTGCCCTCACCCCCTAGCCCTGTTCTCAACCTACTCATGAGCTCACCTGTCCTCTTATATACTGTGCACCTGGCTAGGTGACACAAAAGGAATAACTTGGTTGACACAGAGAGTAGTGGTCAAGCATGTGGTCACTAGAGCCTGATTTCAACTCCAGCCTAAGTGGCTGTGGGGTCTCAGTTTCCCCATCTGTTAAATGGATGTAACTTATTCCTCATAACCACCATTGTGCCAGCAAGGAAATAAGTGCAGAGCAGCGGCACCCTTAATAGGGTGGAGGAGCCTGGACTTGAACCCAAGCAGACAGACTCCACAACCCCATTCTCACCCCGTCCCTCACCACCTTTCTAGGCCAACATCTCTCTACTTCTCATGTCTGAGCCCTGGCCTAAGCCTTAGTCCTGCTGCCCCTGCTGGTTTTCTGTCCAGCCAATAGCTAGCTTTTCAAAATGATTATCAGAATGTGCCATGCCTTATCCAGGGGCTTCTCACTGCAGGGGACAAGAAAGCCTATGTGGCCAACCCATGGCTTTACTAACCTCCTCTCTCATCTCTTGCCACTACTTCCTGGACTATGCTAGGCACATGCCCGCTCAGGCCTTTGCATCTGCACTTCCCTGGGACACTGACCTCCCCTTCTTCACCTGGTTAATCCTGATTTACCCTTCAATCTGATTGCAAACATCACTTCCCCCAGGAAGCCTTCCCTGACTGCTCCTGTTTCAGATCACAGCTCTGGGCTCCCACAGCATCCAGTAGCCTCTAGTCCTATGACCACTTCACCTTCACGCCTGCAGTTGTGTGAATGACCTCCTCCCCCAGACCAGACCACCGCTGTTTGGTTCACAGCTGTGTCCTGTGTCCCAGCATACACTGGTGCCCAATAAACATTTATTGAAAAACACTATTAATGAGTCACTTAACCTCTGGAACCTCAATACCTGGCATATTCACATAAGAGGTACTTAGTAAACAATTCTGACTTGTTGCCCTTGCCAGTGTTTACTAAGTATCTACTGGGTGCCAGATACCTACAGCCTTTTTAGCTATTTTGTTTTACCTGTGGCTAACCCAAGCAGACCATACCCAATTTGTTGGTGAGGAAACTGAGGCTCAGGAAGGGTGAATCACTTACCTATGGCCTCCAAGTGAGGACAGACCAGGACTTGAACCCAGGTCTATTTGTCTCCAGGACCCAAGATCTTAACCACTATCCTAGCCCTTCAGGTAGGTCTCCAGGGTCCCCGTCCTCACCTGCTTCTCACCCAAGTTACAGATTGCAAGCACAAGGCCTAGAGGGAGGACACAGATACCCACCGAGGGGCTCCCACAAGGTGAAGGGTACAAGGCTAACAAGACTTGTCCCTGTTTCCATGGAGATGACCACTCAGTGCAGGAGGCAGGTGAGCGAGCCAGCAGTAACAGCCCAGAGTAAACGGGAGAGGCACTCGGGCTCTGTGGAGGAGCTGCCTGCCTCCACCTGGACAGACGAGGGGACAGCCAAGAACAGTGGCAGAGGGAACAAGGAGGTGGCAAGGCTGGGGCACATCCTTGCAAGAATAGTGTCAAGAGGAGGCTCAGACAGGTTTTGAGGAGAGAAAAACAACCAGGTTAGGGTTAGGTTTTTTTGTTTTGTTTTTATATGTTTGATTTTTAAAATTCATTTCAGAGAGAGGAGAGAGAAATAGAAACATCAGTAATGAGAGAGAATCATTGATCTGCTGCCTCCTGCACACACCCTACTGGTTAGCAACCTGGACACGTGTCCTGACCAGAAATCGAACTGTTGGTTCATGGGTCAGTGCTCAACCACTAAGCCACCGGAGGGCTAGAATTATGCTTGATCAGATTTGCAATCAACTGATCAAATGTGATAGATCCTGGCTCCCTGGGAGAGGACAAGTAGGAGTGTGAAGTCATGGAGAGAGCAGAGGGAGACTGCCATCTTGACAGAGATGGAGGGGCACCAATTGTTCTGGAGGTCTTGGAAAAAACCAGACAGGCCTAGGTGACTGTGGCTGGGGGTATGGTGTGGGAAGTGGGGAAGCCCGATGCTCAGGTATCTGGCCGAGCAGCCGGAGGAAGAACAGGAATATCAATGAGCTCCCAGAAAAGACTGGGCAACAGTCTGTCTTGTGCTGGCCTAGGGGATGTGGAGCCTAAAATTCAGGAGAGGAGATGCCAGGCCAGAAAGCACCCAGGTCCAGGGACTGTCACCCCTTGCTGCTAGCCCGCCCCACAGCCCCACAAACCTGTCCCTTTGTATCTGTCCACAAAACAGTACTTGAGCTCATAGTCGCTGAGCAGGTCGTGCACTTCCTGCGAAGATAGAAGCCAAAGGACAGGGAGTCACCAGGGGCTGAAGGAAGCAATCCAGTGCAACTTTCACATGGAACAGCTACAAAAGCCGGTCAATTCTAGTCCCCATTTAACGAAGGAGGAAACTGAACTCAGAGCAGTTACTTGCCCAAAGCCATTGAGGCCACACCTGTCAGAGCCGGGATTCAAAGTCTAATTGCAGCTCCCATGTTCTTAACCCACACAAAATACTCTTAAGAGAGTCAGGTGCGTCTGAGTTCAGGACCTAGCTCTGCCTTATGCCCTCAGGGAAGTTGTTTAACCCAGTGGTCGCCAAACGGTGGTCTGGGGATCACTGGTGGTCTGAGGTCCAAAAGGTTGGCAACCGCTGGTTTAACATGACTGACTCTCAATTGGAAGCCTGACTCTTTTAAAAAAAACATTACAAATTAGGTATTAACAAACCCATTTTGCAGATGGGGTGAAGGTCAAGGCGGCAGCAGGAATGCCACCCAGAGGCACCTGTCTGCGGACCCTGTATCCGTGAAGCCCACACTGGGTGGCTTCCTGTGCTTCCCAATTCCCTCCTGCTGACACCGCCGCCTTCTTGCAAGCCAGCTTCGGGGGCGAGGCTCTACGGCCTACTTGTGCCAGCTACACTGTGCGCCCTGCAGGAGAGACAGTGTGTTCCCAGCTAAGAGATGGCAGGTGCTAGGAGGAGGGCCGACTCTTGAAATAAACCATATCATGCTTAGTGGTGCTTGTGCCAGGTCACGCCCTCCCAACACTTTGGTGGCCCTACCAGCCATGTGCCCACCTACAGCGAGGGTGAGCCAGTGGCGGATGTGTTGGTGGCCCAGAAAGGAGGAATTCTGAGCAACAGGAAGAGCGTGCCCGTTCCACCACCACAGGGCAGGGCATACCAGATGCAATCTCCTTGGGTTCAAAGAGCAATGGGAAGCCCTGCGCCAGGGAGGCCCCAAGAGAAGAGCACCCCTGGCCAGAACACGGGCCCCTCCTTTCTTGAAGGTCTATGGGCTGGGAGTAGGAGACCCCCTTTTTCCAAGTAAATTCTGGGGTTTTGTGAGAAGAAAGATCTCAGGAGCTGCTACAACTTCCGATCTCTCTCTAAGAGGAGTTAATAAACCGTGCTCTAGCCAGCCCTGAACTTTTCTGGCTGTGAGGTCTCGCCACTGCATGGTAGAGGGGAATGAGGATAAACGCAATCAGAGCAGGGAGCAACTGGCGTCTCTGCTCCCGCAGTCCCGGTCTAGCTGCCCATTCACAATCCCCCAACTTGGCCAAAGCTGCCTGCCCGCTTCAATCACTAGTTCTCTTCTTCCAAGCCTGTGGTGGCCCTTAACAACATCCTCCCTCGGTCCAAAGTTGGTTTCTCCCTCCATCGCCGCCCCCCCCCCGCCCCCCGCAAAAATCCGCCCTTGGCCCCTCCCAAACCCTCACGGATCCTGCGTTGGGACTCTCCCGCCCAAGCCCCCTTACACCCGGGCACGCGAGCGTCGCTGTTGCCTGGTTCCCCCCGCGCACGCGCACGGTGGTATTTCCCGCCACGCTTCCACACCGCCCCCCCATACCTGGTTGGTCACGTCCCCCGGGAGGCCCCGGATCAGTATCTTGCGGCGGTTACGGAACTGGCGCTCGGTGTGTTCCAAGCGTTTCCTGATCTCCTCTGGATCTAGCGGCTGCAGTTCTTCTTCGGGCGACCGGCGCTCTGGGGCATCGTCAGCTTCAGCCTCGGCCCCAGGCTCCGGGCTCAGCGGGGGCCGGTGAGTAACGGACACGTCGGCCGCCATCTTGGGAAACCCGGCGCCTTCTGGGACCAGCGAGCCGGGGCGAAGCGGCATAGAGCGTCTGCCTATTGGCCGAAGGAAGCCCCGCCCCTTCTCTTCAAACCTCTCAGCCCATTGGCAGCGCAGCCCGCCTCCCAGAGTTCACGCCCCATCTGGGCGCACAGCCTCCGCCCCTTTCCACCCCTGCGACGTCACCCAGTACACGCTCAGCGGCGGTGGGAGATCCCCTTAGCGCAGGTGGAATCCAGCCTTAGACTCCGGCCCGGCTGGTGTGGTTCAGTGGTTGAACATAGACCTATGAACCAGGAGGTTACAGTTCGATTCCCAGTCAGGGTACATGCCCCCGGCTTCAGGCTCGATCCCCAGTAGGCGGGGCATGCAGGAGGCAGCCAATCAATGATTCTTGCTCATCTTGATGTTTCTATTTCTCTCCCTTCCTCTCTGAAATCAGAATATATATATATATATATATATATATATATATATATATATATATATATATATATATATATATTTATTTATGTATTTATTTATGTATTTATGTATTTATTTATTTAAAAAGCCACAGACTCCGGATTTTGATATCTTTATTGTTGCAGCACCTGATGATAAAGCCAAACCCCTGTCGAAGTTTGGCCCATTACCCCATGGCTGGAGGCTCAAGATGATGGCTCCCCCTCAGGCCTTTTAGGTGTGAGAGGAATCCCGGCGTTTCCCTTATTCACATGGTAGATGTCTCTACGCTTGTGCACCCCGAAGACATAAATTGAGGCCGGGATGGCAGCCACGAAGCCCAGGGTGGTCAACACCGCCAAGATGATGGTAATGGTGAGGGGGTTCCGCTCTGTGCAGAGAAGCAAGGAGTAAATACTCGTACCCCTGCCCCTCCTAGGCTTGCCCATTTAGACCCCCAGACCCGCCTCAGCTCACCTTGAACATTCATCACCACAACGAAAGTGTGTTCGCCCTGTGAGCTGGCCGCCCGGCAGTTGTAGGTACCACTATAGTTTAGCCTGACACGGAATGGGATCCCGATGGGGACCTGGGCCATGGAGTCTTCGTGCAAACACTGTAGCTGGGGATCTGGGTTGCCCTGGGCTTGGCACCGAAGGATTTGGATCGTTCTCTCTTTCCACATCACGTGCTGAGGACATTTGGCTGGGTCAATCTTGGGACCATCTGCGGGACCGCCAAATGGTCAGACAAACCCAGGGTACCCTGGGGGAAGGGAGAGTCAAGTCTCTCCAAATCAGGAGAGCAAGGAGTTAAAAGGCCAGAGTGACCTACTCACACAGTACGTGCAGCTGGACGCTCCTGTTCCTGAGCAGGACCACCCCGCCCACCTCGAGGGCGGCGCTGCAGAAGAAGCTGCGTCCGTCGTCCCTCTCCGTGGCGTTTAGCTGGAGCAGGGCGAGCTGTCCCGGGGCTGCAGCGGGAACTCCGTCCAACGTGACCTGGACTCGGGCTCCGGCGGCGCAAGTCACATTCACTGTGGTCCCCTGATGGACGGTGGGCTGGCTCACGTTCCTGATGGTCCCACTCACGTTCATGACGGGCCCCCAGAAGCCTGCAGGAGTAGCATTGCCTTGGAGTTTGCTATCCACTCCCTCACACCCACTAAGCCCAGCCCTCCACCCCAATTTCCCCCCTCAGGGTATGCAGGCCTTGCCTTTTAGCTACTCTGTGGCCCCATCCAAGTCCGGGCACTCAGGCCTTACTGTTATTGAAGACCCAGGCCCCGCCCACGCGGCAACTCCTCCCACTTTGGCGGTTCAGGCTCCGCCTTTCTGGCTTGGCTTCTCCGGTGCCTAGCCCTTTGGGCTAATGAAGCTCACCCCCTCGCCCTCACCTCGGCAGCGGTTTGACCCCGCCCCCTCTTACTATAGATGGTCAAGTTCTCCCGAGTCTCCTGGCTCTCGCCCCCTAGGGTCACATTGCAGACAATCTCCTGAGCCCCTTCCAGCTCCGCGCTCGCCGTGGCTGTGGCCGTGGCCTTCAGCGTGTCTCCGTGGCTCACGACTGTGGCATTCAGCATCTGGTCCCCCAGCGCCAGTTGGACCTGGGCCTCTGAGGCAGGAAACAGCCCGTCCAGGATGCAGGTCACGGCCTGGGATGTTCCCACTTCCAAGAACCTGGGAACCGAGAGATGCGGAGGCGTCCCTGGCAGGACTGGGGAGAAGAGTGGGAGTGAGCTGGAGGTCTCACCCAGCCGTGGACACACTCAAACCCCCCAATCAGGGTTCTTTCCCGGGATGCCCTGTAGCCTGGATCACTCCCTTCCTAGGACACATCTATCCGCACATACTTCTCAAAAATTCCTGCCACCATGGGAATTTTTGAGGCCAACCATCCAATGGCCAAGGGCAGGCCTTCCCAGAAACCCTTGAGGTCCAGGCCACCCCATTCTCGAGAACCGCAGGCCCAGGACACCTCTACTTTGGCTCGGCTCGTCACCCACAATCTGCAGTCCCTTTCCTCACCGAAGGCTCGGAGCTGCCTGGGGACTGAGCTGTTCTGGAACAGTCCCAGGCCTTGGGACCGCAGGTCCAGTTCCCAGCGGCAAGAGAAATTGGCACCATGATCGTTTCTGCTGGCTAGCACCGTGGTGGTGACTTCTGCAGGTTCTCCAACCGCCAGCTGCTGGCTCAGCACCTCCTCCCCACGTAGCAGCAACACGGAGAGGTTGGTCCGGGGTGCCCCGCCTGCCACCCTGCAGGTCAAGGTGAAGTTTTTGCCCACAGGGTTCCAGGGGGACAAGCGTGCCAGCTCCACATGCTCCGGGAACTCTGCGGGTGGGGGTAGAGGGAGGGGAGAACAGAGCTTACCAATCAGCCTTGCATCCCCCTCCCCAGGGAGGGGAGAGGACCCGGGGGTGGCCCAGTGCAGAACTGTGAACTTGGAGGTGATTACCTAGAGGGCTTAGAAATGTGCTAATGGAAGTGTTTGCTATTGTCAATAGCATCAAGATGATTATTTTCTGTTTTGTCAGGCAGTGAAAGAAAAGATTTGCTATTTACAAGAACCTCACAGTTAAAAAAAAAAAAAATGAGCCCTGGCATGTTTTGCTTAGTGGACTGAAGGGTCTCCAGTTGATCCCCAGTCATGGGCACCTACCTTCATTGCAAGTTCTGCAAGTTCAAGAATGTGCGGGAGGCAACCAGTCAATGTGCCTCTCTCACATTGATGTTTGTTTTTTTCTTTTCTCTCTCTCCCCCCCCCCCTTTCCCTTTTACTCTGAAAATCAATGGGGGGGGAAATATCCTCGGGATGAAGTTTTTTTTAAAAAAAGGGAAAGGGGAGATAAGAGATCAACCGAAGGACTTGTATACATGCATATAAGTACAACCAATGGACACAAAACTCTGGGGAGGGAGGATATGTATGGGGGAGGCAATGTTAAAATATGTACACAGATAATAATTTAATGAAAAATAAAAAAATAAATAAAAAAACATTTAATGAAAAATAAAAAAATAAATAAAAAAATAAATAAAAAAAATAAAATAAATAAATAAAATAAATAAATAAATAAAAAATAAATAAAAAAATAAATAAATAAATAAATAAATAAATAAAAAAATAAATAAAAAAATAAATAAAAAAATAATAATTTAATGAAAAATAAAAAAATAAATAAATAAAAAAATAAATAAAAAAAGGTGAGCATAAGTTGCTTCCTTGAGAAGCAACTTATGCTCACCTTTGACAACTCTAGTTTGGATCCCAAGCTGTCAGAGAGGCCCGTGGTTAACATCTTACTCCAATTTCATGTTTTAAAAATTTAAAAAAGGGAAAGGGTACTAACACCTATGACCACTTGTGACATTAACAGTAATTATAAAAGTTCCTATTTACCTAGAGCTTTCCTGAGATTTTGCAAATGTCATCCAGGCATCCACCTTCATTGACATTGCAACTGAGAAAAACGTTCTCTATTATAATCTTTTTACAGATGGAGAAACAAGCCCAGAGAGGCACACCCAGGAAGGGGCAGAGCCCGGGTCAGAACGTGGGTCTCCCAAACTTTAGACCCGTGTGGCCACCTGCCTCTTCAATGTCACATCTAGGGATTCCCCTGGCCCTCCTCCCAGCTTCTGGCCTGGACTCTGGCCTTGGCCTCTAAGAGCTTGGTCCCCCTTCTCAGTCAGCCCCAGGCGCTCAAGACTCTCACAGTCTGCTTGCCTGGGGCAGCCTCTCAGGGTGCTCTGGCACAATCATGGGGGACCGGACCCCTCTGGGCTGGGTCCTCTCCCAGACACAGCTGCAGGGCCTCTCTCGGGCACACAAACCATATCCTTAACCTCCTTGAGAAGCAACTTATGCTCACCTTTGACAACTCTAGTTTGGATCCCAAGCTGTCAGAGAGGCCCGTGGTTAACATCTTACTCCAATTTTAGAATACCTGACAAGGAGGCCTCCATCTTAATCTCGGGCACCACTGGTCAGGGATAGTGTTACGCTGGTAAATTCTGGGTATGTTTGGGCTCTCGGGGGTGGGTGGGAGAGCCTGGACAAGGACTATTTGCCAGTTTCCGTGGTGTAAACACTCCCACCCTGGCGGATATCCGGCTACCCAGTGTGAGGTGGAGCTGGGAAGAGATGAGCACAGTCAGACCTCAGGAGCCAGGAACCACCAGCTCCCACACAGCACTGGCCAGAGGCACCTCACAGGCACACAGATACAGGCAGATAGGTAGACACATACAGATGTACACATTACACAGAAATACATGTGGATACAAACATATATATAGACACATATTGAAACAGATATTGAAACAAACACACTTGCCCGCACACACAATAACACAAACAGTCACACATGGAGATATAGATACAATCATGGAGATACACAGAGAGAGATACATATAGACACAGGCACACACACACACACACACACACACACACACACACGTACACTCTCTCAAACATAGACAATAACAGATACATATGCTCATGGACACACATGTAGGTACACAAATATGTATACACACTGGCACCCACACAAGAGCATACACACGGGTTACTCTACTTATCCATGAAGGCTTCCCAACGCAGTAGGCACCATGAGTGATCTAGTCTGTTGTATGCCTTTTTAAAAAATACGTTTTTATTGATTTCAGAGAGAGAAAGGGAGAGGGACAGATAGAAACACCCATCTGCTGCTTCCTGCATGCCCCCCTACTAGGGGACAAGCCTATAACCATGCCACGTGCCCTGACTGGAAATCGAACCAGGACTTCCAGTTTCATGGGCCCAAGAGTCCACACTCAACCACTGAGCCATGCTGGCTGGCTCTCCATTGATTTTTAGAGAGAATGGAAGGGACGGGGAGAACAGGGAGAGAGAAACATCAACGTGAGAGAGAGACATCAATTGGTTGCCTTCCGCACACACCCTGATTGGCCAGGACCCAGTTTGCAGCCTGGCATCTTCAGTCCACAGGCTGGCGCTCTAACCACTGAACAACCGGGTAGGGCAAGAAACTTTTCTAAATAAATAACCAAATAAATAAATGCAGAGAATCTCTTGGGAGGATCCACAAGAAACCAGTCCCAAGGGGATTCACAGTCTGGAAAGGAAGACTTCACCTGTTAATAACTCTTGGGAGCCAGACTGCCAGCTTTGTCGCTCAAGGGCCGAGACCCCTGGCAAGTGACTCTGCCCCACTGAACCTGTTTCCTTAGCTCCCCCTACCCCTCGCCCTGGGATCTTTGAAAGGATTGAAAAGATTTGGCTCAGTGGACAGAGCATCGGCCTGCGGACTGAAAGGTCCCAAGTTTGATTCCGGTCAAGGGCATGTAACTTGGTTGCTGGCACATCCCCAGTAGGGGGTGTGCAGGAGGCAGCTGTTGGATGATTCTAACTCACAATCCCTCTCCCTTCCTCTCTGTAAAAAAATCAATAAAAATATATATATTATTGATTTTTTGAAAAATATATGTATATTTTATTGATTTTTATATATATTTTATTGATGAAAATATATATATATATATTTTTTTTTTAAAGGATTGAATGAAGGCTAAAGTGGGTATAGACACTTAACACAGTGGTCACTGCCAGCAGTGCTAGGTAAATGGAGACTTGAAATTTATGCATTTTTATACTTTTTTATTTTGGAACCCCATTAATTTATTACCTACCATAAAAATATAAATAATAGCCAAAACCGGTTTGGCTCAGTGGATAGAGCGTTGGTCTGCGGACTGAAAGGTCCCGGGTTTGATTCCGGTCAAGGGCATGTACATTGGTTGCGGGCACACCCCCATTAAGGGGAGTGCAGGAGGCAGCTGGTCGATGTATCTCTCTCATCGATGTTTCTAGCTCTCTATGCCTCTCCCTTCCTCTCTGTAAAAAATCAATAAAATATATTTTTATATATATATATATATATATATATAATAAAAGACATGTACTATCATTTTTAAATGCTTGCTGAGACCCAAATTGATTGATTTTATACTGCTGCCCTGTCATGTGGTTGAGATGCATCTCTGTCTCTTTCACACACACACACACACACACACACACACACATGTCCAGGTCCAAACTCTGGGTTCGAGTCCTGGTCCAGTCCTGCAAACTCCGGGCTGCTCCCCACCACGGCCGGGGCCAGTCCCACCTTCCGCCACATGTACTCACTGTACACTGCGATGTCAGAGGAGTCTGACATCTGCAAGCCGTTGCAGATGGCGGAGCAGAAGATCTTACTGTCACTGGTCACATTGCTGACCCTGAAGGCCTTCCAGCCCAGGCCTGTGCCCACTTCCTCCTTCAATAGGGATGTCTCCAGGCTGATGAGTTCATGTTGGGGGCAATCTGTACTGCAATTTACCACAAGGGACCCTCCAGCAGGCACCACCGGGTTCCGGGGCACCATCCGAAGCAGGAACTCTCCCTGGGCTCCTGTGGGAACAGGGAAACTCCGGTGGTTGATCCAGGGCCCCCCAGCCTATGCATCTTGAGGCCCTACCATCCATCCTGAGATACAGACTTTGCCTTCATGGTGCCTCCAGTTCAGTGGGGAAGACAGGTGATGGATCAGAGACAGGAGAGCTCAGAAGGAGGCCAGGGGAAGCCTACAGGAAGGAGCCTGTAGGAGGAAGCGAATCAGGGAAGCTTTCTGGATGAGACAAGTACGGACAGTTTCAAAGGGTAAGTAGGAGCTAGCCAAGTGAAAGGGAAGCGCGATCCTGGCAGAAGGAAGAGTGTAGGCAGAAGTCAAAGGTACAGATGGAGCCGAAGCCGGTTTGGCTCAGTGGTAGAGCATCAGTCTGTGGGCTGAAGGGTCCCAGGTTCGATTCCGGTCAAGGGCATGTACATTGGTTGCAGGCACATCCCCAGTAGGGGGTGTGCAAGAGGCAGCTAGTCGATGTTTCTCTCTCATCTCATCGACATTTCTAGCTCTCTATCTCTCTCCCTTCCTCTCTGTAAAAAAAAAATCAATAAAATATATTTTTTTAAAAAGGGTACAGATGGAGCTGAGAGAGACAGAAACAGGGAAGGAGGGAGGGAGGGAGGGAGGGAGGGAGGGGGAGAGAGAGAGAGAGAGAGAGAGAGAGAGAGAGAGAGAGAGAGAGAGAGAGAGAGAGAAGGAGAAGGAGAAGGAGAAGGAGAAGGAGAAGGAGAAGGAGAAGGAGAAGGAGAAGGAGAAGGAGAAGGAGAAGGAGAAGGAGAAGGAGAAGGAGAAGGAGAAGGAGAAGGAGAAGGAGGAGAAGGAGAAGGAGAAGGAGAAGGAGAAGGAGAAGGAGAAGAAAGGAGAGGGTTGGGCAGGGAGGACAAATCACAATCACAGGCAGGGGCTGGGCCTCAGGAAGCCCTGGCTGAGTGAAGGTCCCACAGCTTTCTTCCCAGGACAGTGATGAGCCCAGTCAGATCTGAGTTTAAGGAAGTGTTTGCAGCAGGATGTGGTGAGTTTTGCTTTCTCCGGTCCTTCATTCTCTACCAGCCCCCAATTCTAGCCCTCCCCACATTAAATGGCCTCACCTGGAGGCGGCAGGCAGCAGATCAGAAGCAGAGAGATGAGCGGAGTCCAGCAGGTCCTGGGCAGAGGCCCCAAAGGCACCATGGTGGCCAGCCTATGGAGGACAGCGCCTTACTGGGGCACTGGGCAGGGTAGAGGGGAGCAGGCGGGGCCGCCCAGGAAGCACAGTCACAGCGTGAAGATTGCAGAAGTCCAAGGGTGGCACCTTGCCCAGGCCTGGGGAAGGGCAGGAGGGATGTCCTGTGGTCCCGGAGGTCCAGAGTGGGGGACCCAGCTTGGGTCCAGGGAGGCGGAGGGCACTAATGGATCTCCTACTGGGTGTGCCTCAGGTACAGTCTGCCTCCCAAATGAATTCACACAGGAAATGAAAATATAATCTTCTTCCTTTGTTCTCGGTAAGAGTGGGGCAGAGGGGGGAGAGATGGAGGGGGGCCGAGAAACCACCTTCCTGCTGAACTTAGGTAACTTCCTTTCTTTGATACATTTTTTCTCCTTGTGATCAAATTGGCCTCATCCCACACCCTGACTCTTTTGCCTCTCTGTCCCTCGGTGGTCCACTCCCTTAATCACTAAGCCTTCAGGACAATGAGGTTCTGGTCGGCAGCACATAATCTTAGGAACAAAGCCTCAGGTCTAGTGACCACAGAGGAAGCTAACATCTAGGCCTCAGTTGTATTTCAGCTCCGGACCCAAGAAAATGAAGCCCAATCCTTGCTAAACCAGACAGAACAGAACCACGGCTGACATCAGGACCAGATGCAAGGATCCACTGCCCCTTCCTTACCCTAGCCCACCATCAATAGTCCCCTATGTCACCCGTCCCTAAGAAGCCATCGAGGATGAAAGATGAAACAGAGAGGGCCAGAGACCGGGATGCTAGGACACGGGCTTTATTGGAGAGAAGGGTACCACTGCCGGCTGCTTCCATGGGAGAAAGATAGCGAGGGCCCGGGTTCAGGCACCTTTTAAGGGGAGGGAAGAGAGGGGACGGGCTTAGGGCACTCAGCACACGCTGACTGGTGGTTTCATGTAAGGCCTATGATTAGGGACCTAGGGACTTAGGAATGGGGGGGGGGGGAGGTGGCTTAGGCTATTTGGCAGGTGCTGATTGGTGGTTCAGTGCTCAGGAATGTCTGGCTGCAGGTGGAGTTTAGGTCCGTCCATCAATTGGAGGAAGGGAGGATCTATCAGAGGAGCCAGCTCTTAGCACACACGCTCCAGGTGTAGCACCATTCCCTTAACAAGCCTTTACTTCTTGGCTGCGAACTCATGTTTGCTTTTGATGCCAACAGGTGACCAAACTCTTTGGTTTAGTAACAAAGGGGAGCCAAAACCGGTTTGGCTCAGTGGATAGAACATCAGTCTGCAGACTGAAGGGTCCCAGGTTCGATTCCGGTCAAGGGCATGTACCTTGGTTGCGGACACATCCCCAGTGGAGGGTGTGCAAGAGGCAGCTTATCGATGTTTCTCTCTCATTGATGTTTCTAACTCTCTGTTCCTCCCTTTCTCTCTGTAGAAAGCCAGTGAAATATATATATTTTTAAAATGGGCAAAGTTGAATAGATATTTCTCCAAAGAAGCTATTCAAGTGACCAATAAATATATGAAAAAGTGCTCAACATCATTAGTGATTAGGGAAATGCAAATCAAAACCACAATGAGATAGTGCTTCATACCTACTAAGATGGCTACCATAAAAAAAAAAAAAAAAAACACCCACAGAAAGTAGCAAGTGTTCACGAAAATGTGCAGAAACTGGAACACACACACACTTTGCTGGTAGAAATATAAAACTTTGTTCTTCCACAAGTTAAACAGAATGATCCAGCAAATCCTCTCCTAAAAGGATTGAAAGCAGGGACTCAGGCCCTGGCTCAGTAGCTCAGTTAGAGCATCATCCCTATTTGTCAAGGCTGGTAGGAGTTTGGTCCTCAGTCAGGGCACACACAAGGATCAACAATGCATGCATAAATAAGTGGAACAGTAAATTGATAAATCGATGTCTCTTTCTTTCTCAAGAATAAATTAAAATTAAAATTAAAAAAGAGCTGGGGCTGAAACCAGTTTGGCTCAATGGATAGAGCGTTGGCTTGGGGACTTGGGGGTCCCGGGTTCGATTCCGGTCAAGGGCATGTACCTTGGTTGCGGGCATATCCCCAGTGGGGGGTGTGCAAGAGGCAGCTGATCGATGACTCTCTATCATCGGTGTTTCTAACTATCTCTCTCCCTTCCTCTCTGTACAAAATCAATAAAATATATTTTTTTTAAAAAAGAGCTGGGACTCAAACAGATACTTACACACCAACATTCATAGCAGCGTTATTCACAATGGCCCAAAGATGGAAACACCCCAAATTCCACCAACAGATGAATGGATAAGCAAACTGTGTTGTATACATGCAATGGGATATTGTTTATTTATTTACTTATTTTTAATATATTTTACTGATTTCTTACAGAGAGGAAGAGAGAGGGATAGAGAATTAGAAACATCGATGAGAGAGAAACATCGATAAGCTGCTTCTTGCATGCCCCTACTGGGGATGTGCCCGCAACCAAGGTACATGCCCTTGACTGAAATCGAACCTGGGACCCTTGAGTCCGCAGGCTGATGCTCTATCCACTGAGCCAAACTGGTGTGGACTCAATGGAATATTATTAATCCTTAAAAGGAAAGAAAATTCACCCGCTGGTGTGGCTCCATGGTTGGGCGTTGACTCATGCACTGAGAGGTTGCTGGTTTGATTCCCAGTCTAAGGACACAGAAATAGTATGGTAAAGGCCTGGGGGCGGAGTGGAGGGGGGGCAAAGCAGGGGAAAATGGGGAGACATCTGTACTATTGTCAACAAAAAATAAATTTAAAAGGGGAAATTTTGATACATGCTACAACATGGGTGAATTTTGAAAACATGCTAAGTGAAAAAAGCCAGGCACAACAAAACAAATATTCCACTTATCCGAGGTCCCTAAAAGAGAAAGATTCATAGAGAAGGTAGAGTGATGGTACCAGGGGCTGGTGGAGGAGGGAAATGGGGAGTTAGTGAGGAATGGGGGCAGTTTCAGTTTGGAAAAATGAAAACACTCTGTAAATCCATAGTGGAGTTGGTTATACAACATTATGAATGTATTTAATGTCACTGAATCCTACACTTACAAATGGTTAAAACGGTAAAATTTATGTATATTTCAACACACACACACACACACACACACACAGAGCATTTGCTTATTTTGATTTGTATCCAAAACATGAGATGGATAGATGATCCAGGAATGAAGAAATAGATGAATAAATACAGTATGATAAAGTAAATTTAACAACATGGCAATTGTGGAATCTAAGGGTGTTCACTATACCATTCTTTCAACTTTTCTGTATGTTTGCAATTGTTCAGAATGAAATAAAAACTGCATCCCTGATAGGTCTAGGTGGCTACTCAGGTCACAAAAGGAGGGAAAGCAGACCTTGAGTATTTCCTGCTAAGAGAGCACAATGGCCTCTATGAAAGACTTGCCAAAGTAATGGAAATTGGACCAGCCAGTGTGACTCAGTGGCTGAGCATCCACCCATGAACCAAGAGGTCCCCAGTTTGATTCCTGGTCAGGGCACATGCCTGGGTTGCAGGCTCAATTCCTAGTAGGGTGTGTTAGAAGGCAGCCAATAGGTGGCTATCATTGATGTTTCTCTTTAATTTCTCTCCCTTCCTCTCTCTCTAAAAAACGAAAATCAATGAAAACATTTTAAAAAATATATATTTTATTGATTTTTACAGAGAGGAAGGGAGAGAGATAGAGAATTAGAAACATTGATGAGAGAGAAACATCCATTAGCTGCCTCATGCACACCCCAACTGGGGATGTGCCTGCAACCAAGCCACATGCCCTTGACCGGAATCAAACCTGGGACCCTTCAGTCTGCAGGCCAAAGCTCTATCCACTGAGCCAAACCAGTTACGACCGTGGTAGGCAAACTGCGGCTCTCGAGCCACATTCGGCTCTTTGGCCCCTTGAGTATGGCTCTTCCACAAAATACCACATGCGGGCATGCACGTACAGTGCAATTGAAACTTCACGGCCCATACTCAGAAGTTAGTTTTCAGCTCTCAAAGGAAATTTTAATCGTTGTACTGCTGATATTTGGCTCTGTTGACTAATGTGTTTGCCGACCACTGAGTTAGGGCGAAAACATTTTTATTTTTTATTTTTTTTAAGGAAGCTGAACTGGATCATCTGTTGGTCAAGATGAGGATAGAGAAATGCATTGAAGCCACACCACCAGGATGACACCAGACCTGCAAAGTCTAAAGGACAGCCTCATTTCCTCCACGGCTCTGTTGCAAGGGGGAAAAGAGGAAGAGAAACCAGCCAAATGCAGTGTGTGACCTTGTCTGGGTTTTTATTTCAACGACCAAATACCAAATGTCTGAGAGACAATTGGGGAAACCTCACAGGCTACCCAATGATGTCAAGGAATTGTTAATTCCTTTTTTTAATTTTTTTTTTATTGCACATCACTCCTTTATTAAACTGATCTGAGAAAGATGTAGTAGTTATGCTCAAAATGCTTCCTGGGCCCAACTGGCAGGGCCAGCAACTGGAACATGAATTCAGAACTCACACAGTGGAAGACACCCCTGGGCATAGTCAGGTGCCATTTCGCCGCCACGAGACAGGAAGGCGGGGAGGGGCTCTATCGTGCAGGGCAGGGAGCTCGCGCACCGTGGGGTAGGAGTGGCTTATTGGGTGACGACCACACGTGGGAAGAGTTCAACCGCCACTAAAACCCCCAGAAGTGTTTTTGTTTTGTATTGTTTTATATAGATAGACATTCTTTTTGTACAAGTAAATGCAACACGTGAACATGCAGGATTGATCTCAGTCTTCTGGAGCCAGCTTTTCTGGGGTCAGGGAGGAAATGTTTGTTTGAATGGCCAGGCGTTCATCTGCCACTGGAGTGACCAGAGCCCCCAGTCAGTTCACCTGACTGCGGGATAGCACGGGGCGGCGCTCAGGAACACAGATAGGCTCTCTTGCCTCTCCTCATTGGTCAGCTAAACACGGCTCCTCCTTATCCCCCTACTTTCAAGCAGGTCCTTAGTAATAAACAAAACTCTAGCAAATAAAAAACAAAAACACACACACACATACACACACAAAAAAAAACAGTTATTACCTCTGAACACACACACTCTCTCTCTCTCTCTTTCTCTCTCTCTCTTTAATAGAGTTTATTGATTTTTACAGAGAGGAAGGGAGAGGGATAGAGAGCTAGAAACATCGATCAGCTGCCTCCTGCACACACCCCACTGAGGATGTGCCCTTGCACGGAATCGAACCTGGGACCCTTCAGTCCACAGGCTGACACTCTAGCCACTGAGCCAAACCGGTTAGGGCCCTCTGGACTCTCTTAAGTGAGTCTCCCTCAGCTTGGCGGCGGACCCATGCCCCAGAGGTGCCATTCTGACTAAATTGCATGGAGTGGGTACAGGAGACAAAAGGGCTATCCCCATCCCCATCTGCAGCTACAACCTAAGATGCTTACAGATGTGGTCCGTGGACATGTGCACAGGAGAGAAGCAGTGGAGTGGGGAGGGGGAGGGTGTCCTTGGGAGAGTTGTCTGCCTGCTCGCCTTCCCTTGGCCTTGCCCTGGGCAGCCACAGCCTCCGTGGCTTGATGCACGGTCTCTCCATCCCCCAGGGACTGCATGGGCTTCAAGTTCTTGTCCAGTTCATAGGCGGTGGGAATACCAGTCGGCAGGTTCAGCTCCCCTCCGGATGTGTGACAATGCCCCGAAGGCTGTTGCCATGGGCTGCAATCAGTACCCATTTCCCCTTCTTAATCTGCAGCACTATTTCTTCATTGCAGAAGGGCAGATAGTGTCCTTCAAACTCTCACCGGAGGGCAGCTGGTCTTCAGTGAAGTCAGCAACCTGCGGTCCTCACTGATGTTGCTGTAGGTGGTAGTGGGATATCATAAGAATGCCTGGAGATGCTTACCTGGGCCTCGCCATGCGTGGCAGCAGCTTTTGCTTTGTTAAGACCAGTCGGCCGAAACCGGTTTGGCTCAGTGGATAGAGTGTCGGCTTGGGGACTGAAGGGTCCCGGGTTCGATTCCGGTCAGGGGCATGTACCTTGGTTGCGGGCATATCCCCAGTAGGGGTGTGCAAGAGGCAGCTGATCGATGACTCTCTCTCATCAATGTTTCTAACTCTCTATCTCTCTCCCTTCCTCTCTGTACAAAAATCAATAAAATATATATAAAAAAAAAAAAAAAAAAAGACCAGTCAGACCTCCATAGTACCGCTCACTGAGATGCCAAGTCCTCGCTACAGGCAGCTGCATGTGGTCTAAGGCCGTGGTCTAAGGCCGTGGTCGGCAAACTGCAGCTTGCAAGCCACCTGCGGCTCTTTGGCCCCTTGAGTGTGGCTCTTCCACAAAATACCACGGCATGGGTGAGTCTATTTTGAAGAAGTGGCGTTAGAAGAAGTTTAAGTTTAAAAAATTTGGCTCTCAAAAGAAATTTCAATCGTTGTACTGTTGCTATTTGGCTCTATGGACTAATGAGTTTGCCGACCTCTGGTCTAAGGCACCCAGCACTGTCCAGAGGTCCGAATTGCTCTCTTCTGCACTGAGAGAAAGCAGATGTCAAACTCATAGCCGGCATCTCGCAGCGCCTACAGCCCCACTTCGCCTCCTCGTGCTCAGCCGGGCTCAGGTCCGTGTCGCACCAGCTGTGAAGCGGCTCTCCGGGTTCCTGCGCTCTCGCCGTCAGCACAGCCTGTAGGCAGCACGGAGGCGCTTCCGAGTGCGGCACAGACTCAGGAATTGTTGAACGTTTTAGGTGTGGTGATGATGTTGCAGCGATTGTTTGTGGTTACGCATGTGTGTGTGTGTGTGTGTGTGTGTGTGTGTATATATGTGTGTGTGTGTGTATGTGTGTGTATATATATGTGTGTGTGTGTGTGTGTGTGTGTGTGTGTGTGTGTGTATATATATATATATATATATATTTATGGAAGTATTTACAGATAAATATGATACTGGGATTTGTTTCAAAACGATCCTGACCATCCCTCCTACAGTGGGGGTGGGAGGACAGCTGAAACAGAACCGGCCACGGGTGTTGGGAACTGTTGGTGCTGCCTGTTTACTGCATTATTCTCCCTTGCTTTGCATATGCTTTAAATTGTCCATAGAAAAGTTTTTTTAAAAAAAATAATTCTTTATTGATAAAAGTATTTCATATCATATAAAAGTGTTTTGTGTTGTTTTTTTTTAGTTTTTTTTTTTTTTAAAGCAGTTACACAAACATAGGCCAAGACAATTCTGAAGAAGGAAAAAAAAAGGAGATCGATCCTATCAAATATCAAAACATATTCTAGTGTCAACGTCTTTCCCAATTACCAGGCTAGATCCTGCAAGCAATTATTTGTTGGAAATTCGCCCTGGGATACCCTTGGATGTGGGTGGAGTGATATGCACCCATGGCTGCTCACTGCAGCAGCAACACAGACATAGCAAAGGATTCAAGATAACTGCATGAAGAGCAAAGGCTTAGGGGTAACTACATGAACCCCAGCAAGAACTACAATACAACCACAAATAGCGCAAGGAAATACTGTAGGCCTGCATAGCTGGGACCACCCCCAAGACCTATTACAAAGGGGAAAAGAAAAGCAAGAATACAGACTGGAGTTGTGTATTCTTGCCCATGCTACCACTCTGGCAAAAGACAGGAAAAGTATACTGTGTGTACGGATTTCCTTGCATCTGGATGAAACATCTCTGGAAGCAAACGCAGGAAACCAGATGGTATCAGTTGCCTGCAGAGAGGTGACAGTGGTGGCTGATGGGCAGGAGGGAGACATGTCCCTGCTTATGTCAGTATCACCTATCTAAAAGAAAATAATTACAATGAATATTTAATTCTGAAAACTGTTATAAAAAGCAGATGCCACTACAATCATGTATAATTGTCCACTCAGGAGAGCTTGGGGGCATAAGGTCTTGAGAAGTCCTATGGGAAAGCAAATCACTCAAATGCTTTTCACGGTGTGGCTGACACAGAACCCGCCTCAAGCCTACCCCTGAAGGAGAAACACTTTGGCAAACACCACATTAACAAGATCAAATGTTTATTAAGTAGTTGTTTGCAACTCTCTCAGCTAAGCACTTGATATACACAATCTCTTTACATTCTCCTCCGAGACAGCGAGCAAGACCATCCCCAGTTCACCGTTGAGAGCTGAGGCCCAGGGAAGGAAAGGCACTCACTCGCCTGCGGTCGCACAGGGAGGAAAGGCTGAAACTGGCAGTCTTACCAACATGGCATGTGGCCCCCAAATCCTTTGCTGGGATAGACAACAAGCAGTCATTGAGCGCCTTCTGTGCTCCTGGCACTGGGGATTGAGAGCGAAGGTTGAATAGTTGCACGTGGCTTCCCCCGTAGTGTCTTGCTGCAGCTACAGTCCCCAGAAGAGCAGGCACTTGCTGAAGAAGGACCCAGAGACCAGAGCCTCCGGCAGAGGAAAGAGGAGTTTATTCCTCGCTCCTGGAGATGGTGGGCTCCCAGCACGGGGCTGGGGGAAGACATGAGGATCGGATGCAAGGGACGGACTAGCTCCTTGCTGGTCCTGGGTCTCTCCGGAGCCTGGGTAAGGCGATGACTGTGGAGGATGCTATGGCTTGAATGTTGAAGTCCCTTCAAGATTCAGATGTTGGCCAAAACCGGTGTGGCTCAGTGGATAGAGCGCCGGCCTGTGGACTGAAAGATCCCGGGTTCGATTCCAGTCAAGGGCATGTACCTTGGTTGTGGGCACATCCCCAATAGGGGGTGTGCAAGAGGCAGCTGATCGATGATTCTCTCTCATCGATGTTTCTAACTCTCTATCCCTCTCTCTTCCTCTCTGTAAAAGTTCAATAAAATTTATTAAAAAAAAAAAAAAAAAAAAAGATTCAGACATTGAAGCCCAAGTGCCTGATGTGATGGTATTAGGAGGCGGGTCTTTGGGAGGGAGATGGGTGGGTCCCTCATGAGTGGGATTAGTGCCCATATACAACAGGCTCCAGAAAGATCCCTCGCCCCCTCCCACCTGGAGAGGGCGCAGTGCGAAGGCGTATCTTGATCGTTGACTTCCCAGAGCCCAGAACTGTGAGAAATAAATTTCTGTTGTTTACAGGCCACCCGGCCTACAGCGTTACCGTAACAGCGTGGATGGATGGACACAAGGAGAGTCAGGCCTCAGACCCGGGGTCCCGGGTAATGCACGGGCAGTGGGGGAAGCCACTTCTCTGGGCAGACGCAGGAGGGAGGCCCTCTCTGTGAACACTACCTGCTCCGACTCCCGGAAGCAGAGCTCCGGGCAGGTTTCAGCCGGCGCTGAACACGGAGGGGGCCTGGCCCTGGTATTTCTCGTGGACCGTTTTCAGGATGGGTATGAGGTTCTGGAAGGTCGGGCGAAATGAGGCCTCTGCCTCCCAGCAGTTCTTCATGAGGACATAGATCTGGGGGCGGAAAAACTGGGGCTGTGGTCGCTGCTCTGTCCACCGTCTGATGACGGGGACAGGGGGAAAGTGTGTGTGTGTAGAGGGGGGGGCGGGGCGGTCTCACCTCATGGGGACATTTCTCTGGCCGTGGCAGCCTCTCCCCTCGTTCCAGCAGCTCTGTGAGCCTCAGTACTGTCAGCTGCCCCTGCGTGAGGCCGATGAGCTCGATGAATTTCTGCAGAAGAAACAAGACAAGTCCTCAGCAGGCAGGATGCCTGAGCAGAAGCCAGGAGCTTTCGGTGGGACTCCGGGGGTCCTGGTCCTGTCTCTTATCACTTCTCAATTTGGGCTTAGGATCTCACTTCTTTAGGCTTCAGTTTTCCCATCTGTAAAATGGGGTAAAAATCATCAACTACCTGGGGTGATTGTGAAAGTTAATAAATTCATATTCATACAGTAAGTCTGAGTCAGGTGGTTGTGTTGCTATTAAATCTCCTAGCAAGTTGTTTTTGTCCGGACAGGATCTTTATTTCCCCTTCCTATATACCCTGTTTCCCCCAAAATAAGACAGTGTCTTATATTAATTTTTTCTCCCAGAGTTGCGCTAGGTCTTATTTTCAGGGGATGTCTTATCTTTTTGTGCACTAGGTCTTATTTTCGGAGGATGTCTTATTTTCGGGGAAACACGGTAGGCACTATGATTGACTTTGGAAATAAACATCTAACATATTCTTGTCTCTTCCACTAGCCCAGTCCTGGCCAATGATTATGACCCATGGATACACAGTGATTGGCTCCCTGGAGGACACATGAGCCAAGCTGGGCCAATCAGATCGTCCCGAGAATTAAGCTGGAAAGAGGATCCCTTTCCCCCCTCACCTGAGGGGAATGGGTGCCTGGGAGACAGGGTGGGGTGGGGAGCTGTTGCTACAAGAGAGGGCCTGCCTAAGAGATGCTACCACAGAGAACAGCAGAGCTGAGAGATGGAGGAAATGGGATTCATGATGACATGAGGGTCTAGTTCAAGCCGTGCCCCAACTCTCCCCTCGAGGGCAAATGGCAGAAGCAGCTGTTCCTATGTGAGCAGGGTTTCTGTCACAGCAAAGCCTCACAGTCCCATTTTACAGATTGGAACTGCGAGGCTCTGGTGCAGGAAGCACTTGCTAAGCTGGGGGAGTCGGGAACTGAAGGCATGGCTTTCTAACTCCGCTGGTAGGGGGTGGCGGCGTGGGCCTGGCTCTCACCGAGGGCGGGCTTTGGCTGGAGTCACAGTAGGTCAGCAGCTCATACATGGTGACTCCAAAGGACCAGACATCAGACGCATAGTAGAACTTGCACTCCTTCAGGCACTCAGGGGCATACCTACCGGGAGAGGGCAGTCAAGCCTTGGGCCAGACCAGGATGGAGTCCTTATCTGGGGCTTGGGAGCCTCTGGGTCCCACTTAGGGCCCCATCCTTAAGAGAGAGCAGTTTCACTGAGACCCCAGCGTCCGCCTCCACCCGGCGCCCCCTCTGGCTGGGTCTGGCCTGGTCACCAGAACACGGGGCTGTCGCCATCCTCGCGCACGCGGTAGTACTCGTAGCCCTCGGGCACGGCCTTGGCCAGGCCGAAGTCCCCGATCTTGACCAGCCGGTCGTTGTCCAGCAGCACGTTGCGGGCAGCCAGGTCTCGGTGGACGTAGTGCTGGGTGTGCAGGTAGGCCATGCCCTGGGGGTGAGGCGGGCAGGGCGGGTCATGCCCAGTGGGGCAGGGTGGGGCCTGAGGAGCTGTGACCGGGATGGCGGGGGACAGTCAGGGTGGGCCTGCAGGGCCCAGGAGCAAAAGCGAGCCGTCTGACAGGTGGAGCCCACTGGACGGCAGGGGCGGGGCCTCAGAGGCGCAGGACTGGGAGGGGGCTGGGCTGCTGACGTGGCCCAGTGAGCAAAGGGAATCTCAAAAGTGGAAGAAACTAGGCGGGTTGGCGACCCAGCCACTGGGGCTGTGGCCGGGTGATGGGTTGAAGGGGTAAGTACAGAGCCAGCCGGCCCAGGGGCGCCCAGGGGCGGAGCCCGGCAAGCAAAGGGCTGGGACACTCCTCTGGGCCAGGCCCAGAGGAAGGGGCAGCTGTGAGCAGGGGCGGTGGGCCCACCTCGCAGATCTGCTGGGCGAACAGCAGCAGCTGGGCCAGGCCTACGTGGTGCCGGGGCAGGTAGTCTCGGAGGCTGCCCAGAGGCACGTACTCCATGACGAGCTGGACAGATTTCTCGCCTAAGGGTGACAGAGGCAGGGGCTGGCGGCCGCCCCCCTGGACCCTGCAGTTCCCCGCCCCAAGGTGGGGAGGGAAAGCCAACACCTGCCAACGCTAGGCCTCGTCCCGGGAAGAATGGATCCATGCTGAACGCCATCCCCATAGAGGGAGCAACGCTGGCGCCCCCTCCCCCCCACCTACGAACTGCATCCTCCAGCCTGGGACTGAGAGGCTCCAATTGGCCAGGCCCTCACCCCCACCCCCACCCCCACCCTCACCCCCACCCTCACTCCCACCCTCACCCACACCCCCACCCTCACCCCCACCCCCACCCTCACCCCCACCCTCACTCCCACCCTCACCCCCCCACCCCCACCCCCACCCTCACCCCCACCCTCACTCCCACCCTCACCCACACCCCCACCCTCACCCCCACCCTCACTCCCACCCCCACACCCACCCCCACCCTCACTCCCACCCCCACCCCCACCCCCACCCGCACCCTCACCCCCACCCTCACTCCCACCCTCACCCACACCCCCACCCTCACCCCCACCCTCACTCCCACCCCCACCCTCACCCCCACCCCCACCCTCACCCCCACCCTCACTCCCACCCCCACCCCCACCCCCACCCTCACCCCCACCCCCACCCTCTCTCCCACCCCTACCCCCACCCCCACCCTCACTCCCACCCCCACCCTCACTCCCACCCCCACCCCCACCCCCACCCTCTCCCACCCCCACCCCCACCCCCACCCTCACTCCCACCCCCACCCCCACCCTCACTCCCACCCTCACCCACACCCCCACCCCCACCCTCACCCCCACCCACACCCCCACCCACACCCCCGGCTTTGCCAACACGCGGGTCTTTCTAACCCTCACCCTAACCCTCACCCTAACCCTCACCCTAACCCTCACCCTAACCCTCCGCCGGCCCACCTTGGTCCTCGCAGCAGCCCTTGTACTTGACGATGTGCTCGTGGTAGAGGGTGCGCAGGATGTCGATCTCCCGCCTCCAGCCAGTGCGGAGCTGAGGGCCGCAGTCCGCCTTGAGGGCCTTCACGGCCACCATCTCGCCGGTGCCTTCGTTGGTCGGGTCGTAGCAGTACAGGCTGACTTTGCCGAAGTGACCCTGGCCAAGATGCAGGACGGTCAGCGCCCCATTGCTCCACCCCCGCCCCCGCCCCCACCCCACCCGCGGCTTTGCCAACATGCGGGTCTCTTTCTAACAGCCAGACCCCTCCGCGGGCCCTTACCTCACCCAGATCCCGGATCTTTTTCAAGTACCGCTTGTGGAAAACAGTGGGGTCTGATGCTGGTGAGGTTGGAGTCACAGACAAGATTTCAACAAGATCTGAAAGAGCCACAGTGGGTGAGGCCGGACCCTGACCCTTTACCCAGCAGGCCCACACCCCCGGGCACAGAGGGCAAGTGACTGCTTCCCCCAGCATCCAACCCAGAGATCAGGAAAGCTTTTGCAACAGCTGGAAAATTCCGCTTCCAGTCCAAAATGCAGAGTTGGCTGCATCAAACTGACACCTGGGGTGTTCTATGACTGCGTAAAGGGCACAGACTTTTCATCAAGAGAGAAAGCAAGCCCGACCAGCGTGGTTGAGCATCAACTTATGAACCAGGAGGTCACGGTTCGATTCCCGGTCGGGGCACATGCCTGAGTTGAGGGCTCAATCCCCAGTGTGGGGCGTGCAGGAGGCAGCCGATCAATGATTCTCTTTCATCATTGATGCTTCTATCTCCCTCTCCCTCTCCCTTCCTCTCTGAAATAAAGAAAATTTTATTTTTTTTTTTTAAAGAGAGAAAGCAAAACCAAAAAAAATTTTTTTTGAGGGTCTAATTCACCCAAAAGATTTGTGGCTGTCCCCAAACAAAACATTAAGAACTTGGGTCATTCTCATCACCCCCTTAAGTGAGGGACAAGCCACCTATCCTATGGTCCTGTGATGTAGAAACCAGCACACACCCTGAGCCACTGTACAGAGACCCAGAACGCACTGAGCCTGTGTCAACAGGGTTCCTGGCCCCTCCCGCCCCCAGGTCCCAGCTCGGGTCTGGGGCTCACTTTGGGGCTGAAGGTGAGTGAGGTCCCGAAGGATGGTGCGGAAGGAGGGCCGCTGAGCAGGCTCATAAGTCAGGCACTGGCTGGTGAGTGTGGCTAGCTCCGGGCACGAGGGCTCGGGCAGCGGGTGCTGCTTCTGGTAGAAGTACTCTTTCTGTGGAGAAGGAGACCTGGAGAGTCAGTGACCCCACCCTCCCAAGGCCCCTTACCCAGGAAGCAGTTAAATCCCCAGAGCGGCAGGGCCAGACCAGTCCTTGTTCCGTCATCCCCATTTTACAGATGAGCCAACTGGGTCTCGGCAAGGGGAAGCCAACTTGCCTGCCGCAGCAGAGAGAGGACTAGAACCCAAGTCCAGCAGACTTTGTTATGTGGAGCACCTCACTCTTGTTCCTTCCTGTCCTGGCTGCCACCCACCTTTGCTCCCAGCTCTGCAGACGCAGCTCCCAGAATGCACCAAGGCCTCTGGGTCTTTGAGTAAGGTGTGCTGGGGCGACCCTTCCCTAGCCCAGGCCACTGCGGTATTTCTATACTCAGATTAAAACTTCCTGGCCCTGCCGAAACCCGTTTGGCTCAGTGGATAGAGTGTTGGTCTGTGGACCGAAAGGTCCCAGGTTCGATTCCAGTTAAGGGCATGTACATTGGTTGCAGGCACATCCCTGGTGGGGGTGTGCAGGAGGCAGCTGGTCGATGTGTCTGGCTCTCCCTTCCTCTCTGTGAAAAATCAATAAAAATATATTAAAAAATAAAAATAAAACAATAAAACTTCCTGGCCCTGGCCGGGCAGCTCAGTTGGTTAGAGCATCATCCGATAAGCCAAGGTTGCAGGTTTGATCTCTGGTCAGAGCACATACAAGCATCTACCAATGAATGCGTAAATAAGCAGAACTGACGTTTCTGTCTCTCTCTCCCTTAAAAAAACACACAAAACAGGCCTTCCTCTGGGAAGTCTTGCTGGATGCCCCCTCTGGGACCTCTCTACAGCCTGTGCCGCCCCATCTCTGGCCTGGTCACTGCATCTAAAACTGAAGCAGTCACTTACTTAATTATTTTTTTATTCTCACCCAAAGATATTTTCCCATTGATGTTTAGAGGGAGTAAAAGGGAGGGGGAGAGACAGAGAGAGAAACATTGATCTGGGAGATTGGATGCCTCCTGCACACCGATCAGGGCTGGGGATTGAGCCTGCAACTGTGGTATGTGTCCTCGATCAGGAATTGAACCCTAGACCCTGAGCTGACTGACACTCTAACCGCTGAGAAAACCGGCCAGGGCAGCAGTCTCTGATTTGCTGGGTGCCTCAATGACCTCTGAGGTCGGGACTATAGGTAACCCCAACTGACAGGTAACCTGCTGGAGCCTCAAAGAGGTGAGGCAGCGTACGTAAGGCCACAGGCCAGAGGGGGGCAGCTCTGGACCCAGGCCGCTAGACTCCTCGGGGTCACCCACACTGTACCTCGGAGGGGCCGCGGTCCTGCAGGGGGGCCTCCCCATCGAAGCAGATCTCCAGGAGGGTGGCACCAAAGCCCCACTTGTCAGCGGCGGTGCTTAGGCTGTTAGCCCCACCAAACAGGCACTCGGGGGCGATCCAGGGGATCCGCTCTACCCGCTCTGGGGGCCAGGGCCAGAGGTCACCAAGGGTGAAGAGAGTGGGGTAACCCAGTCCCCGTGCCCAGCCCGGTCCCAGTCCTCACCCTCCCTGGAGAGGGCACCCAGGCCCATGCCGGGGTCGCTCAGTTTGATGAATGGGCTGGTGCCCTCCGCCAGCCCCAGACGTGCCAGCAGGATGTTCCGGCCACACACGTTACCATGAGCCAGGCGCTTGTCCTCCTGGGGAAGGAAGGAGAGGGAGGCGTGACCACGAGGGGCCTCCAGACCCTGTCCCCACCCCATCCCACAGGGGCAGCCTGTGGGAAAAAGGCAGTCAGAGGCATTAGTGGGATCCCAATACATGTCATTGTGACCGGACATCACTGGGTGCCCAGCGGGTCCTTCCTGTCCTCCCAGAGCTGGTGGGGAAGGCTCCTGGCCTGGAACAAAAGGCCAGAGGACAACCTGCTGTCCTCGGACCCACGCCAGCCACACCCCTGCACTGCGACTCCTTCATCCTTCTCCATCTACGTACCACGTCACCTCTCCCCCAACTTCACTCCACCCTACTCTCCCAGAATGGTGCTTACTGCTTCCTAACATATTATGTGACACACTTAATTATTACTTCTTGTTTCTCTCTCTAATAAAATCACTGGCTCCCCAAAGGACGGAGGCTCCTGTCTGTTTTGTTGTGTGCTCCCGAGGCCTATGGCAGAGCCTGGCACACAGTGGGCGCTCTGGAAACAGGGTCAGAGAGCCAGGTGTGGCTGGGGATGAGTGGCAAGAGAGAGCGACAGAGGCGGCCGAGGCCAGGCCTCACCGGGCACCCAGCGGAGGAGTGAGGTGTTCTCTCAGGGGAGAAGGGAGCCACAGGGGTATGTGAGCAGAGGAGGTTTGTGGAAAGAGCTCCCGGGGCCAGTGCGTGGATTGAAGGATGCGTTGAGGCCTCACCACCCAGAACTGGCCCACCCTGCTGACCCAGGCCCCGCCCACAGGCCACACACCAGGTAGCTGAGGGCACTGGCCAGCTGCTGGGCCACTGCCACCTTCCAGGCCACAGGCACACGGCCCCTCTCCCGCCGCAGCCACACGTCCAGGGGTCCATGCTCCACGTACTCTGTCACCATGATATCTGCAAAGGCCAGCTGCTGCAGGGGCTGCCCACTGCCGCCACCCTCCGGGGCGCCGGGGGAGGAACACCGGGGCTGGGACTGTGGGGGGCTGGGGCTTGGGAGCGACTTTGGGGAGAGAAGAACTGCAGGATGGAGCACAGGTTGAGGTGGGTGCAGGGTGAGGCAGAGGCGAAGGGTGGAAAGTATGTAGAGTCAGGTGCAGGCTGGTGTCAGGGGAGAGCAAGAGAGATGGACACGGAGTTCAGGTCCTGTGGTCGCTCTATGCAAGGAGTTTGAGGTACACAGGGGTGGGGCAAGGGCTGAGGTTTTGGGGGATCCAAGTGCCCAACATGGCTGGGGTCTGCATGGGGTCACAATCCTGCTGGGGTCAGAGGGCAGATGGTAGAGGCATCTGGGTGGTGGATGAAGGATGGGACGCAGTCAGCAGTCAGGGTGTGGTTGAGGGTTGGGGTGCAGGTAATGGCCACGGTATAGTCAGAGGCTGTGCTGCAATGCGTTGGCGTAAGCCAGGGATTGGGGTACAGGTGAGCACTGGGTAGTCACAGGTTGCGAGATAGTCAGGATGTTGCTCAAGAGTCAGTGTATGGTCAGGGATCGGGATGCAGGTCAAGGGTTGAGGCACAGCCCTGGCAGTGGGTACGAGTGGGGGGCGTGGGCCTATACCCGGCAGGGCGTGCGTGTTGGGGTCCACTCACTCACTTTTGGAGCCATGCACGCAGACTCCGTGGACGAAGGTCAGGTGCACGTGGGACACCTGGCTCATGAGGCTGGCCGTCTCGTAGAAAGCCTGTGAGGGCAGGGCAGGGCAGGGCAGGGCAGGGCAGGGCAGGTCAGGTGGCCGCAGACCCTGCCGCTCTCCCTGCCCCCGTCACACGCACTTACCAGGGCGGTGTCATGGTGACTCGGGTCTAACACCTTCAGCACCACTCGCAGCTCCTGCCCACTGCCCCCGCCGGGCAAGGTGGGGTCCCCAGCATACGCTTTGTCCTCCTCGGGGCCTCCGCCCCCAACTCTCAGGAGGCCCTCGTACACATTGGTCCTCGTGCCCTGGCCCAAGTGGGACAGCTGGGGGGACATGGCAGGGGACATCTCCATGACAACAGCTGGTGGCTGCCCTCCCCGTCCCCCCTGGGCCGCACACGTGCACACACCTGGGTGAGGTCATCCTGGCAGACCCGGTGGAAGCTGAGCTGGCTGAGGTTGAGAGACCTGGCGCTGGCCTGAGGTCCGCGCATGATGATGAGGTTGGAGATCTCTGGGGGGCGGGAGCAGGGTCACGGGGGGGGGCTAGCGTGGGGGGAGCCACCCTCCCGCCCCGCGGGCCCCGTCATCACACCTCCCGGCTGCGGCAGGCAGCAGTGGCGCAGGGAGAAGCAGTGGTCGCCGGCCCGCAGGGAGCAGCCCTGCAGGGCGGCCCGCAGCTCCCGCACGCTGGGGAAGGGCCGGTCCCAGCTCTGCAGCCTGAAGGCGCCCTCACTCAGCTCGATGGGGAACTTCCACAGGCGCAGGCGCTGCGTGCCGGGGGCCTGGGGCGGGCGGGCGGCAGGGCGAGGGCGGTGGGCAGGGGTCTAGGCAGGGAGTACACCCGAGCCCAGCCTGCTACCCCCGCCCCAGGCCCACCTGGTCCCGCTGCGCCACCGTGAGGATGAGGCGGTGGAAGTGGCTGGAGCTCCAGTGGATAAGATAGCGGCCGTCCTCCTGCTGCATCTTGGCCAGCACAAAGGGATCCCTGGGGAGGACAGGGGGCGGCGTCAGGGGGCACGCTGGGCCCCACCCGCCCAGAGAGGCGCACGCATACACGCCAACTCACACAGAGACACAGGCACAGGAACAGGCACATGTGTGCGTGCCTGTCAGACACCATCGCTGACACAGTGACACACACACACAGACAGGCGTCAGCTGTCAAACGCTGATGGGGCACACGCCCAGCCATACACTCACAGGGTGACAACACACAATGGACCGCCTGTCACACAGCTGCTTACCCAGCGGAACAAGGCAATGCAGGGCCTCAACAGCCCAGACCCAGAGGCGACCACCGTCATGAGCACGGACAGACACAAGTGACACTGCGACACAGGCCCAGGCGCCGGCATGTGTGGCGCACACGCTGCTGGGGACTGAAGGTTGGTGCCCCCCTAAAACTCCCATGTTGAAGCCCTAAACCCCAATGGGATGGTATGGGAGGTGGGGACTTTGCAGGGTGATTATGTCATGATGATGGAGCCCTCATGGATGGGATTGATGCCTCATGAAATGGACCCCAAAGAGCTCCGTGCCCCTTCCCCACCGTTTGAGGACACGGAACTAGGAAGTGGGCCCTCATCAGACACAGGGTGTACTGGTACCTTGAACCTGGACATCTGGCCTTCAGAACTGTGAGAAATAAGTGTCTGTTGTTCCTAAGCCAGCTGGTTTATGGCAGTCTGTTGGAGCAACCCGCACGGACTAAGACACACTGATGTGGCCAATCTCTATATGAGTGGCACGCACTAGCCGTGACAGGCACAGCTCTCAGGAGGGGAAACGGCCACTTCACCCTCCTCTGCAGTACAGACTAGGCTCAGACCGCGTAGGAACCCTCGGGCAAGTCCCAGGGCTGCAGGGGGGACAAAGGACACGCGGGCACAAGGCCAATGACCAGAGGAGCTGACAGTCACTAACCACGACCTGGGAACACACAGGACGGCCACACCGGCATCTGATCGCCACATAAGCACGGGCACTCCATAGTGCCCACAAGTCCTAACAATCGCTCAGTGACCCACAATTAGCAGGGCAACACACATCTGTGGGGCTGTACACACCCACACATATTTCTGAATGACCAGCGATATTTGTACAACACCCTCCCTATAACCAGCCATCACAGCACATGTGAAAATGTGTGGGACAATTTTATATGCAGTCACTGGAGCAGTGACACTGCCGCACACCACATGGGCTGTCCAACATCCAGACGTGCACAGCGACAGTCCCAAACCCAGGGCCCCTCAGCACAACATGCCGCCTGGCCCACTGCAGGTGTTCTCACCCCCTCTATAATCCCTGGTGCATACTTGCATGCATGCACACACAAATGCATAATTGCATGCATGCACACACAAATGCACGCTTGCATCCATGCACACGGACAAGCACACTTGTGGGTGCACTTGCTCATAAGCATACATGAATGAGCACACATATGCACTCACAGATATGAATGGATGCACAGTGATATGAGTAAATACTTAAACACATAATTCATGCTCGCGCAGGTAAACATGAGCTCACATTCACAGGTACAGACCAGACACAAATGCTTGCACACATATGCTCACACACACTCGCACAAGTGCATGCACACAAGCATCTCATATGAGCCCCACAGTCCTTCAGAACTCAGGGTCCAGCTGGCAGCTGCCACCACCACAGTCCCTGCCGCCCAGCCTCCTTCCAGGCACTCACAGCAGGGGTCCGTGGACACCGTCCTGGATACTCATCACCAGCCGTGGAGGTGCCACCTCGTGGCACAGGTAGTGGTTCGAGTCAGCCGTCAGGCGGAAATAGCCATCCACCAGCGACACCAGGGACAGGGCGGCGGCCGGGGAAGGCAGGGTCAGCTCCTAGAGGCCAACGGGGATGTCAGGTGGGCGTCACTGGCTGGGGGTGCCCCGCAGCCCGGCCCTCAGCCCAGCCCCGTCTCGGGCCCCACCAGGCACTTGTCCTGACAGTGGATGCTGACGTGGCACTCTCTCAGCACCACGTGGGTGATGTCCTGGAAGTCGCAGAAGTAGGCCCACGGCGCCTCCCGCGGCCCGTCCACAGGCTGGCCGCCCAGCGGCTGGGCCTTGGCTTTCCTCCCCGAGGAGCCGGATTGAGAATTCCTGCTGCGGCCGCCGTCCCCACCATTGGGACTCTGGAAACCCCGCACCTATGGAGGTTGATTTGAGCAGGGCTCTGCCTGTTTAGTCCCCCCCACATTTCCCAGGGGGGAAGCCTGGAGCTGGAGGAGGAACCAGGAAGTCTCAAGTCATGAGTGTCACAGGCGGGACCAGGGACCCACCCCCAAGAGATACACCTGCCAGAAGCGGAACCTCGGGGAGGGCAGAGAGGAGGATCCTACCCCTCTCACCCCCAAATCCAAAGGGGCTCCCCGAGGTACAGGCCCCAGAAATCAGGTCCCCAGGGGGAAGGCAGAGGGCACAGACCCCAGGGAATAGAAGGACAAACCCTGGAGCCCTGAGGGGAAAGGCTCACCATAGTCCCCCTCAGAGACCACGGCCAAGGTTGAACAGGAGCTCCCGCCCGACCCCACCTGGACCCCCAGACGGAAGAGGCACCCGGCTCACCTCCGTCTGTACTGGCCGCCACTGGATGCCGCCAGTGCCAGTCACCAGCACCTCGTGGGTGGGCGGCTCGACCGCAGACTTGGGCTTGGGGTCTCCAGGGGCCTGTGCACTGTCCTGGACGTAGCAGGGCTCCCCCTCGGCCCGGGCCAGCAGCTCGAGGCGGCACACAGGCGCGCGCTCCGCGCCGAAGCGGGGCGCCAGCCGCTCGAGGGTGGCCAGGTACTTGACCATGACGGCCTGCTGGGAGAGGCTGCCCGGCTGGAAGGCGCGCAGGAACCTGCGGAAGATGACCTGCAGGCGGAGCTGGGTGAAGGCGTTGTACTGCCGGATCTGCTGCCGGAAAGAGCGCGGGATACAGTCCTTGAAGCTGTGGAGGTGACCAAGAGGGGCTGGTGAGGGGCCCGGGCTGCGGGCCTGGCTGGGTGACATGGGGCGAATGACTTAACTCCCCTGAACCTCTGCTGCCTCGTTCAGAAAACAGGCAGGCTGTCGTGAGGTGGAAGGAGAGAATACGATAAAGGGCCAGCACGGGGAGGCGGGATGGTGGCGGGACCAGGGCACAGGACTCAGGAGAGGACCATGGGGCTGAAGTCCCAGTTCTTGGATAACTAACGTAAGCTCTCTATGGCTGTGTCTGACTTGTTCACTGGTGTCTCCTTCAACAACCACAATGAGTGTCAGCATACAGGAGGTGCTCCATAAATGAAGGCATGGCAGTATACAAGGTCTCTGCCCTGGCCCCCGGATGCCCACGAGTATCCAACCACCTCCAGTGTCTCTGCCCCACTCCCAGGCACCTGGTCTTCTTGGCCACCTTCTCCAGGGGAACACCACGGCACAGAGCAAGGTGACAGAGGTGCAGAAAGGCCATGCCCAGGCTCTCGTTCTTAAAGTGGCGGATCTCCTCCTCACTCGACAGCTCCCACAGCGATGCCACATCATTCACAAACTCATGCTTGCCCTAGGGGTGGGGAAATCAGATAGAAAGGGAGGCCTGAAAACCTGTTCACTCCTCAGCTTCTGGCCACTTTGGGAGGGAAAGGAGGGACTTCCCATTTTTCTGAAAAGGCTGAATATACAGCATGCATGCCTCCTATGACCATGCCTGTGGCAGACATCACTAATCGATCACAGTGCTCGTTCCCATACAATCCTAAGATTCTCAGGACCCTTTGGTTCACGTAGAAAAAGGACCCCAGGTTGCATGAGCTGAAACCTGCCAGCTATAATTGTAGAAAGAAGTGGGGGCGCCTCAGCTGCCCCTCAGTCCCCCTGAAATAACCCCACGTCCCGGCCCTGCTCCTACCTGCTCAAAGAGGTACTCAAAGGAGGCGGGGTCCAGGAGCTGTATCCCCTGCTCTGCCTGTTCTGACGAAGCCTCGGCCCCTGGGGGCCTGCAGCGATACACAACTGGCTCCTGAGGGTTTGTGCCATGCCAGTTCCGGAAGTAAAACCTACAGGAAGGGAAGGGCACAGCTAGGGCTGAGCATCGATTCAGCTCCAGGAAGACGGGATTCAGGGGAGAGAAGAGACCGAACACACGGGGACAAGCCTTCCCACAGGCCTTCACCCACCTCATGCGGAAGTGCAGCGTCAAGTTTGTGTCTCTGGAGACCTCGAGAATGTGGTTTGGGGGCAGCCAGACCTGGGCCTGGGCATCAAAGAGGGCAAAGAGATTGAAACAGGGTGGAGTGATGCCTGGAACAGGGAAGAAACATCCAGAGTCAGTGTCTGCTGCCATGATCCTACGGGCCCCCAGACCTCTTGTCTCCCCTCACAAGCCTTCCCAAGGCCCTCCCCCACCTGCTGACAGAGAATAATGCAGTATGGTGACCGTGCTGTGGCCTCACAGCAGGCCACATTTCCCAGCCTCCCTTGCAGCTTGGATGGGGCCAGTGGATTGGTTTCTGGCCAATGGGATGTGAGCAGACAGATACGCATACTTCCAGGCCTGGAAACAAACTCTCCTGCCATCTTTCCAGCCCCAACGATGTTGGAGACTCTTTGTGCTAGATGATGAAGCATAAGATAAAGGTGAAGCATCTGACCTGCGTTTGATTTTAGGTACCTTTGTTTTTAACCCAGGAAAATCACAGGTTGGGGGGATTGCTTGTTACTGCAGCTAAACCTACCCTAGACTGACTAAGGCTACTCTATTCTGATCTCTGAATTGCAGCCGGAAAAACATACCTAACCACCTCCCGGCTGCCTCCTCCTGAATGTCACAAGCTCCCTTAGAGGTGTTTGTTCCAAACAGATCTCATCCAAGCTCCCCACACCTGCCCCTCTGGTGCCTAGTTCTTTTTTAAATATGTTTTTCTTGACTTTTTTTTTTAGAGAGTGAGAAAAGGAGAGAGAGAGGGAGAGAGGGAGGAGGAGAAAGAGAGAGAGAAGAGGAAATCATTGACCAGCTGCCTCCTGCATGCACCCTGACCCACCTGGACCAGGAATCAAGCCCACAACCTGGGCACCTAATCTCCTCCATAATTTCCCCCCATTCCCTGACCAGGATTCGAACTGGCAACCTTTCAGTGCCCAGGACGACACTCAACCAACTGAGCCACACCAGCCAGGGCCTCTGTCCAGTTCCTTAAGCCAGGACTTGGTCCTTGTTCTCAACTCCTCCCACCCTCTTCACTTCGGATGGGTAAAAGTCCTGCTCTTTCTAAATCCACCATCTCTCTAGGATCCAGCCACTTCCTTCAAATCCACAGCCCAGGACGAGTCCAGCCTCCGGACTTGCCGTCATTTCCCACAATGGCCACCCGAGGCATTTTTAAAAGACACATCACTTAATTTTTTAATATAAAATAGTCCTTTCAGAATAACTCATAATCACCTAAGTACTAGCCACCAGATAAAGAAGTAAAACTTAGAAAGTACAATTGAAGCCCCCGCCTACACCACTTCCTTTTTCCTCCCACAAAGAGGTAACCATATTCCTGAAGTAGAATTTATTATTTTCAAATCCTCTAAGATCTAGTCTTTTTTTTTTTTTTAAATATATTTTATTGATTTTGTACAGAGAGGAAGGGAGAGAGATAGAGAGTTAGAAACATCGATGAGAGAGAGTCATCAATCAGTTGCCTCTTGCACACCCCGTACTGGGGATATGCCCGCAACCAAGGTACATGCCCTTGACCGGAATCGAACCCGGGTCCCTTCAGTCCCCAAGCCAACACTCTATCCATTGAGCTAAACCGTTTTTGGCAGATCTAGTCTTGAATATTATAAACGGGAAATGCGGTATCATACCACCGGCACCCCACAACTTGCTTTCCCATACTTCCTGATGATACTTGTAATATTGGTTAAATTCCCTTTTCGTGGCTATATAGTATTCCAGTGTTCAACCATAGGGCTATTTATTTGTGCATTCTCCCGCAGAGGAACTTAAAGATGGTCTCCTATTTTTTCACGAAGATACACGAGGCAGCTCTAAACATTCTCAGATGCGTCTCCTGGAACACGTGAGCTGAGGATCTGTACGGTGAGTATCTAGGAATAGAGCTGTGTGGCCTCAGACATTGTATATTCCAACCGTGTTGGATGACACCAAATAGCTGTCCCTGCATCCCAGCGTACCGCCTCCCGCAGAAGGAGAACGCTCCCTGTGAGACATCTGCCTGAAGAGCCCATCTCACTGCGTCATTCTCTGGCTTTCAATTCCTCCTTTCCCTTCCAAATTCTTGAAACTGACACTCTGGTTACTCTTGCTTTTGGTTCCTCAAATTGAGCAGGCTCTCCTCACATGCCAGTCCCTCTAACAGACATGTTCCACATCACCCAGCACATCCGAGTTTGTTTGTTTGTTTGTTTGTTTGTTTGTTTTTTAATATATTTTATTGATTTTTTACAGAGAGGAAGAGAGAGGGATAGAGAGTTAGAAATGTCGATGAGAGAGAATCATCAATCAGCTGCCTCTTGCACACACCCTCACTGGGGATGTGCCTGCAACCAAGGTATATGTCCTTGACCGGAATCGAACCCGGGACCTTTCAGTCCGCAGCCAGACGCTGTATCCACTGAGCCAGACCGGTTTCGGCCCATCTGAGCTCTTTTAAGAATCAGCCGCTGGTTGAAAAGCACAAGGTGTTGTAGGAATCCACCAGAAGGCCCCCATCCGGTTATGGGGGAGGGAGTTTGGGAGGACTTCCTGGAGGAAGGGGCATGTAAGCAAAGTCCTCTTGGAGTGACTTCCTCCTCCTCTGGCAGAGGAAGTGCACTTTTTTTTTTTTTTAAATATATTTTATTGATTTTTCACAGAGATGGAGAGAGATAGAGAGATAGAAACGTCGATGAGAGAGAAACATCGACCAGCTGCCTCTTGCAAACACCCTACTGGGGATGTGCCCGCAACCCAGATACATGCCCTTGACCGGAATCGAACCTGGGACCTTCCAGTCCGCAGACCGACGCTCTACCACTGAGCCAAACCGGTTTCGGCTAGGAGGAAGTGCACTTTTGAGCACATCTATTACAGGCTCTCCCAGCTACCTGGTTCCTGACTGCTCTCAAGAAAAAGCCTAAACTCGCAATTCCTCCCTCTGGCGTTTAAGGCCCTGACTGACCTCTCCCCCATAACTTCCCTCCTCGGAATCACCTCTGCCATGGCCTCCCTACTCCCGCCCTCACCCACTAGTATGTTCCCCCTACAGCAACCAGAGAATACCTGTGAGCACCTGAGTCCCGTCAGGTCCCTTCTTTTCTCACAGCCCCACCTCACTTGGAGTAAAATCCAAAGTCCTCCCTGAGGCCCACAAGGTCCGGAATGACCTGCACTGTCCACCTCCTTCCCCTCACTTACTCCTGTCTCCTCTCATTCACATCGAGCTGTCGCTGACAAGTTCCCACCTCAGGACCTTTGCACATGCTGTTCCCTGAGCCTGGTACTCACCTCCCCCCAGATATCCCCGAGGCTCCCTCTCTTAACGCCTTAAATTTTAAATTTCCCGTATGATCTATCTCTGCCCTCCTACACAGTTTTCTTATTTATTATGATTTCCCTATGAGAATATCAGTGCTACAAAGGCAGTGATTTGGGGCTGGCACATAGTAGGCACTCACTCAATGTCTTCCGAATGAACAGGCAGACGATGAATGGGGTCCGGCTGTTGCCAAAGCCTCCACCCCTGCCATGGGACTCACCGATTTTTTGTGCGATGTGAATGCAGATCTCCTCCGCGGTCAGGGTGGCCTCGCTGAAAGTGACCCAGGGCTCCCTGCTGCCAGGGCCTGCCCAGTGCAGGAACACCTTCAGGCCTCCCGTGATGGCCGTGAGCTGAGCTTCGTCCCCATCCGGCTTGTTGCCCCTGGCGGTGGTCCCCCCATGGTGCCGAGGCATGCTCCTGACAGCTGGCTTGGCTGGGAAGGGACAGCTCATTAGTCCCCAGGCCTCAGCCTCGAGGTTCCTGTTAGCACCACAACCTACTGCCCCTTTCGACTGAGGCCAGAGGGAATATTCTGAACTCCCCTTGCTGTGCAACCTCAAGCACCCAATTCCCCTCCCTGAGCCCCAGTTCCCACATGTTTGATGGAGTTGGGGTATGCATCCCCACCTTTTAGATCTGTCATGAACAGTAACAGCATCCAACTCCTTCACTGAACTAACTAGCACCAATGCAAAAACCCGTTCTCAACACATTATTCCCAAAATAACCAGGCAGGCAGGTGTGGTCAAATGAACCTGGGGGGTGAATCCGGGCGCTCCCTGTGTCACCTCAGGTAAGTCACTTAGCTACTCCGGGCCTCAGTTTCCCCAACTGGAGAACGGAGATGCTGAGACCGCTGCCATCAAAAGATGGCTGTGCCGTTTCAACACAATTCTGCATGTTCCTATGTTCAGCACAGACCTTGGTATAGGCTTGGAAAAAACACACAAATATGACAAAAACAAGAGTAAAATCATTATTATTGGTTTCATTCTCACGATGGCTTTTTCTCTTTTAAGCTAAGATTCCTTTTCTCCCACATCCACCCCCATGAGTGACCTCTGGCCCTTGTGTCTTGCCCAAGCCTAGAAGCTCTCTCCTCCCAAACTAGCTCCCAGACTTTTTGAAGGCCAGGTCCAGGGAGGGACTGTCAGCCATCCCACCGATCTTATTGATTTAAGACAAAACAGTGGCGGGAAGAGGAGAATGTTGTAATAGCATAATGTGGGATTCCCCAGGAATCAGCTTCTCTCTCTAAGCCAGTTTCCTCATTTTGAAAATGGGCATATAAAGGTCTCTCCCTCTAAGACGAGGGGAGGCTTCTCTGCGAGGAGGCAGTTTGGAAAAGGCTGTGCAGAAGGCCTGGGTCCTTGATAAATGTCTACTATTATTGTCTATTCACGTTTAGAATAAGGTCGTGGGGATGGGGCTTTTGGGGTGCCCATCCTTCTCCGCCCAGACCCAGCTTTGGGTCGGGGTGAGGTCTGCCCTCGGGAAGCCCGCACACCGCACAGCCAAGCCTCCCACCCCTGCGGGGGCGGGAAATGTGCGTTGCACCCACCGGGCATCGACCAGTCCCGAGGCGGCGGCCGCTTCCATCCACCTCCTGCAGAGCGCGGCCAGGCCCGCGCCGCCCGCCGGCCGCATCCTTCCACACGGCCTCCGGGGGCGGGGGCACCCTTTCCGTGACCTCCTCCACACTCACCCTTTCCCGGGGACTCCGGCTCGAACCCGGGACCCAGTCCTGCCACCGCAGGCAGCCGCCGCCGGACCGCCGCCGAGATGCCGCCTCCTTCAGGGGCCACCCGAGGAGGGCGCGCTCATTGGCTGCCATGGAACCATTGCGCTCCTATTGGTCGCCGGCTCGCCTTTCGCTCAACCGCGATTGGCTCGATCGCCTGCCGGAAGTGCCGCAGCGCCAGCGATTGGCTGGCCGGAGGTGAGAAGACGCGGAGAGGAGTCCGCACCGGCGGGCGGAAGAGTGTGGTTTTCTGGGGCCCTGGCGTTCCCTCAATGGCCCTGTTTGTCTTGGACTTCCGGACCTGACCCCGGTGTGAGCCCCACTTCCTCTTTTCCGAGGTCAGGGCTGCAGCCGCGCGCCAGCCACTCCGCCCTCCCGCCCCCTGCCTCATGTCTGCCTGGCCAGCCCACCTCGCTGGCCGAGCCCCCCTCCTCCAACACAGGAGGCACCTCCCTCCCCCACCTGCGCGCATCTCTTTCACCCCGGCCTCCGAGGCCCCTTGCTGTCACTAGCAGCGTGGATGTCCCCTCCTAATTGGGGTTCTAATCCATCCCCACCCCCACCCGGCACAGCCAGTCGCTGTCCTGCTGTCCTTTGACAGAGAAGGAAATCCTGGCAGCACTCCTGAGTGTTGGCTCTTACACCCATTTCTCAGAGAGAGAAACAGGCACAGAGGGTGCCACAGACTCTTTCCTTAACCAAAATGTAGTCTTCTGAGCCATCTTTCCACTAGCCTCCGACCTTGGTCTCTGTTCTGTCTTTGCCCAGGCCAGTCTGAGCAAAGACTCCTGCTAAGTTAGTGATTCCCAACGCACACGCCTCCCAGGGGGGCAATTTGATTTTAAAAATATATATATTTTATTGATATTTTACAGAGAGGAAGAAAGAGGGATAGAGAGTTAGAAACATTGATGAGAGAGAATCATTCATCAGTTGCCTGTTGCACACCCCCTGCTGGGGATGTTCTCGCAACCAAGGTACATGCCCTTGGCCAGAATCGAACCCGGGACCTTTCAGTCCGCAGGCCGATGCTCTATCCACTGAGCCAAACCGGTTTTGGCGGCAATTTGATTTTTAAGGAGGGCAATTCGAGAATGAGTTATTAACTGAAGTTTTTTTGGTTTTTTTTTTTTTTTTTTTGCATTTCTTATGGTTCTAGGGGCCTCATACACAGTACATAAATTCAGAGTGACATATTTATGCATTTCGGTTCTCTTATATGTTTTAAAACTTCATTTGGTATTTTTTCATATCAGTTCATATTATTTTAAAGAGACAATTTCTTAGTGATTTCTTCCTCAATACTTCAACTATCTTTTCGTTCTTTTATTTTTCTCTTTCAGGAATGCCATGGTCTTTGGAAGCTTGTTTAGACCAAGTTAGTGGCCTTTTAGGCTTCCTCCACATGAATAAAAGTTCACTTTTTGAATAATAAGAATTATATGTCACGGGGGGGGGGGAGGGGCATCAGGATTTAAAGTTGCTTAAGAGGGGAGCATTATCTCAATCTGTTGAGGTTCTGCTTCCCGGCATATGTCAACAGTTTGGCTCAAATAAACTCACAAAAATTCAAATAAATAAATAAATAAAGTTGCTTAAGTGGGAGCCACTGTTTTAAGTCATCCCACCACCCTTGATATCTGGTCAAGTTCCTCATCCCTCATCTTTGATGCACATAAGTCCTTGGCCTCTCTTTAGCAAGAATTCTCAGTTCCATTTAACCAGAGTCCCTCTACCCTTGATGTCTCTTCTTAGTCATTTTCCATCCATAGACAACACCCCCTCCCTTGACTCTGATGCGGGACTTCTCTAGCGGAAAGGAGAAAAAAAAAACCTCTAGGCTGGGGGAACGCGGAGGGGAGCGGAAGCCCCTGCCGGACTCCAGCCAACCGGGCACCAGCAAGGAGGCGGGCCACGGGCCCCCTGGGGGCGTGGGTGCCCCTGAGCCTTTGACCACTGAGCTCTAGCAATGGAGCCAAGGCCGGGGGGCTGCTTCCTGGGCTGCCAGGCTGGGAGCGGCCAGGCCCGGGGGAGCAGGCGGGTCGGGTGCGGCCAGGCCCGGAGCAGCGGCTGCCAGGCTGGGAGCGGCCAGGCCCGGGGGAGCAGGCGGGTCGGGTGCGGCCAGGCCCGGAGCAGCGGCTGCCAGGCTGGGAGCGGCCAGGCCCGGAGCAGCAGCAGCCAAGTCCAGAGCAACTAGGTCGGGAGCGGCAGTGACCAGACCCGGAGCAGCTGGTTGTGGAATGAACCAGAGCAACAGAGGCCAGGCCCTGAGCAGCCAGGCCCAGAACAGCTCGCTCCTTGCCTGCTCCTGCCCCATGGCTGCTTCTCAGACATGACTGGAAACTTTCATGGGAACTTGAGGGTCTGCTGAATCAAGTGATGAAGGCTTAGATCTGGATGTGTTGAGTTAGTTTAGGACTGGGGTGTTGATCGGTGAGTGCCTTGGGTGGGGCCTGGATGAGGCTGGTTGACCTAGTGGGAAATGTCTTTTGTGTGAAGTGTATCATTGGGCATGTGGAGGTATTATTGATATGAGAAAATGCTAAGTAACTGATTTACTATCTGAAAAGGGATTTACTATTGGGGAAAGGGAGGGAAGAAGAGACTGAACATAAACTGCACCTATGGATGAGGACAATGGGGGATGGGGAGGGGGCAGAGGGTGGGGTGGGAACCTGGTGGAGGGAGGAAGAAATGAGGAACCTTTGTAATAATATGAACAATAAAGATTGATTTAAAAAATTAAAAATAAAAAATAAAATAAAAAAATAAAATAAAATAAAATGTTCTTTATGATCAACTGGGACACCTCCGAAATGTTCCCCTGAGTCCCACGAGCCATCGTAGCAAATGATTGAGCCTGAGGAAGAGGTTGTGGGAGCCCTGCGAGGGGATTGCTATCGGAGGCTGAAGGGGGGCGGGAGGGGCAGAGTCCTGTGGGACTGGATAGTTCGTGTCAGAACTGAACTGAGCTGTAAGACACCAGGTGGTGCCGCAGAAAACTGGAGAATCTCTTGGTGTGGAAAACCCATACACTAGGTGTCAGAAGTGGTGTGAGTACAGAAACAGTTTTCCTTGGCCAAGTATTAAAACAAAACAAGCCCGGACTGGTTTGGCTCAGTGTATAGAGCATCAGCCTGTGGACTGAAGGGTCTCAGGTTTGATTCCGGTCAAGGGCATGTACCTTGGTTGCAGACACATCCCCAGTAGGAGGTGTGCAGGAGGCAGCTGGTCAATGTTTCTCTCTCACTGATGTTTCTAACTCGTTATTTCTCTCTGTAAAAAAAAAAAAAAAAATCAATAGAATATATTAAAAAAGAAAAGAAAACAGAAACAAAACAACTTTCACCCTAGCCTGTTTGGCTCAGTGGATAGAGCATCTGCCCTCGGACTGAAGAGTCCCCAGTTCAGTTTCTATCAAGGGTATGTACTTGGTTACAGGATCATTCCTTGGGACCCTGGGGCAAGTGTGGGAGGCAATCCATGTGCCTCTGTTACAAATATCTCTCTCTCTCTCTCTCTCTCTCTCTCTCTCTCTCTCTCTCTCTCTCTCTCTCTCTCTTTCTCTCTTTCTCCCTTCCATTCTCTCTAAAAATCAATCCTCAGGTGAGGATTAACAAAATCAAACAAACCAAAAGCCTTCCACCCTAGCCGGTTTGGCTCAGTGATAGA